AAAAAAAAAAAAAAAAAAAGAAGGGAAAGAGGATGAGTACAGGGGTACATTTACCGGGAAAAGGAGATACTTAGGTCCTTTAGGACTCTGGGGAAGGGTGAGAGAAGTGTAACTTTGGACACGTTTAGGGTATAATAGAGATTAAATAAAGAATTGCTTGAATCAGACCTGATTTACTGAATAAAGGGTGGAAAAATAGATGGAGTTAGAAGGCTTAGAATTCTTGTCAGGTGGAGTGCCCTAAGAGAACAGGGTGAGGCTCCACTTTCAGTTTGAGGCAAGTTAAGGTGTTTAGTAGGAGGTTAGAAATGATGCAGGGGCGGGTATAAGTTACACATTGTGCAATCACACTGATGAGGACCTATATTCTATTGGGGTGAATGTAGCATTGACTGAAGGTAGAATGTCATGAATGTGCTGTGAACACTATGTTAAGAAAGGGGGAATGAACTCTTACCCAGCTGTGCTCTAAACCATTGTGACTTTGGGCATAGTCTCCTCCCTGAATTTGAAAGGCGTTGATCTTGATCACCTCTACAGCGCTGTTCAGTTGGCACACAATGAGAGTATATGAAATAGATGAAATTGAGTGAGGAATGGTTTAGGTTAAAAGTAGGTGATGGGTGAGAAGAAGCAGAAACAGGTATGGTGCTTATAATAACCTTCTAACTCTGTCATAACAGTATCTAACGTAATATATCTATAACTGTTTTGTAGAGCCCCTTGTTTACAATGTTTATTCACATATCTGAACTCCTTCTTAAAAGTAAAAGTTGGTGGGGGTTGGCTTTTGTATCAGACTACCTGAATTTTACTTTTAGACAAATGTCTAGATCAGAGAACTATGACGGTTGTTATGTATCTTCATTGTATCTAGAGATTTGACATAATCTTTCAGAGTATCCTTTGTAGACAAGAAATAGTGAATGGGTGGCAGCACTCCAGTGAATTTGTAATTTGGGACTTACCTGATAAGATGACACAGGATTCTATTCTCATTGCAGTCTTTGTCACCATTTTTAGTGATGGCGTGGATAAAGATATTGATGGCTCGCTGATCAAATAGCCAGGACGTTAGATAACAGAATCAGAATCAAAGATGATCTCAGCAGGCTTCCACTAAGAGCCAAATATGACGAGATGAAACGCCATGGATGCCTCTAGTGCATGCCTCCAGTTGGGCCAGCACGCACACTGCACAAGGACAGGAGGCATGGGCTTCCTTCAGATCTTACCTCCATTACTCTCTGTGTGACATATGGCCCCACATTCAAAAGCATAAAAGAATAAGAATTGTGAATTCTCTTTCTCCCTCAGTCATGCCGTGTCATTCCCCAAAGGCAACCAGGATTATTAGGGTTTTATTTTATTTTATTTTTTTTTATTTTTTTTTTTTTTTTTTTTAATTTTTTTTTCGACGTTTTTTTTTTTTGGGACAGAGAGAGACAGAGCATGAACGGGGGAGGGGCAGAGAGAGAGGGAGACACAGAATCGGAAACAGGCTCCAGGCTCCGAGCCATCAGCCCAGAGCCTGACGCGGGGCTCGAACTCACGGACCGTGAGATCGTGACCTGGCTGAAGTCGGACGCTTAACCGACTGCGCCACCCAGGCGCCCCTAGGGTTTTAAAGTGTATGCTTCCAGAGAAATTTTATGCCAGTGTAAGCAAATTGTGTGTGTGTATATTCCCCCGACCCGGTCCCGTTTTTATACAGATGGGACTCTATTAGCCACAGTGTTTTTGTGCCTTGGTTTTCCCCTCGTATTCATGACTTTATGTTGGAGGTTTCCACATATCAATGTGGTCATTTTCTTTTAAGTGGTTGCACAGTATTACTTTGTAGGGATGAATCATAGATCAGAGTTTAGCTAATCAGTTCTTTGCTGATGGGCATTTTTGCTGTTTGCAATATTTATTACAAGCAGTGCTGTAGTCAATAATTGTACAGTAGTTTTATCTATGGAATAAAGTCTTAGCAGTGGTATTGGTAGGTCAAAGGGGGATTCTACTTTCTAATGTCACTGTTGTCATCCCTGCTCTCCTGTGTCATGTATTCTTAGGAAAAAAAAAAAAAAAACAGAACTGTACAGCAGGAGAGGGTTGTAGGTACCATCAAGTTCTCAAAGTCTGTCCTTGGGCTGGGGGTAGCTACAGGCTATCTCAACATACTTGTCAAGGAAGAATATATACGCTTCACTGTGTGATAGAATAAAAATGTTACCATTTTTATTTCAATTTTCCCTTAAAGCATTATAATTTTATACCTAAGCAAAATTTAATGTTTTGAGTAGTACTCGAAATACAGTTTATAACATTTTAGGGAAATTTTGAGAAGAAGCACATCTTGGAGATGATTTTTTAAATGATAGTTGCCTGGCCTACAGTGACTTTGGTTCATCAGGCAAGTATTCTTACAAGCTGTCTTGAGAAATGGAGATATTATCACTGGCTTAGGGCCAAAGTTAACAACTTTGAAAGAATGTGCTACTGTAGTAATTTTGAAATTATTTTTCTCCAAGACACATCATTTTTATCAATTTTTAGCTAATTGTGTGGAAAATGGAGAAGTGGAATGCTTTAATAAAATTTTGTGATGAGAAGTAAATTGTAAAAATTAAGTGTAATATTACCAGCCCATTTAGAGACTTGTATTACCTTAGCAATTGTATATTGGGAATTTATATACAACTGTGTCCTTAATTGCTATTTTTAGATGAACAATTTTAACCATGTTCAACGTTGTAAGCTTGTAAAATTTGATGTTATTGTTATGTCATACCAAACATAAACAAAACTATTTCATCATTGTCCCTAGAATCCGTTAAAAGCCAGTTCAGAAGATAGAAAGATGTTAAGGTAGAAAAATGTTAAGATTCTTTTTCTGTCCTTAGGAGTTTATAGTCAGCATAGGACACTTTATGCAAATGAAACAGGAGGCAATCTGCACAATAGCTTTCCAGATTTCATATTGTAGCGTAACTAGTGTCTTTGTCAACAGGTCATTGTTATGTGTTACTTGTTCAAATCAACTACAAGTATATGCTGTTGATATCCACAGAGGCAGGCTTTGCTGGGTGATTGATAAAAGTAAAGCTGTATCCCGTCTGTAATTTCTGTGTCTAGCACTCATCTCCCACCAAAATGGAGAGTTGAATTTCTGCTGTTTCTCTTACAGTGAGCATCTGTCCTGCGCATTCACATTCTTTCTTCATGGAGAAAGTAATGTGTGCACAAGTGTGGAGATTGCCCAACACCAGCCAATTTATTTAATCAATGAGGAACATATACACATGGCTCAGTCTTCACCTGCACCATTTCAAGGTAAGTAAATGGTGATGTCCCTGTTGCCTACCTCTTCCCCACTCCGTGGATAGTCACCTTGCCCAGTAAGATTTGCAGATGGAGATGTTATCTTAAATGGACATTTTAAAACTAAGCGTAAGGGTCAACTTCTGAAGAAGAAAGGAAAGACTACCATTTCACATGAATAGCTTTCTAACGTTTTGCTGAAAGCTTATAGCTTACCACATTTACAACATGGTATTAGGTGAAGTTGCATTAAGGAATAAAATGTAGAGCATTTCCTTCAGAACCAAAGGAGGTCAATAAGTATTTGAAAAATAGGACCCAATGAGTAACTGACAAATCATATCAATCAAAGGTTTTCATTGTTTTGTTTGTTCCATGGTTTCAGGCATGCAATGACCTACAGAAAATTACTGTTAAATTACTGTTTTTGAAATTTCATCCAGAATCAAATTTCTAGAGTCGCAGTTTCTTCAATAATGTTAATAACTTTATTATTTTATTTTAATTAAAGACTGCATTGATGGTAGTTTTTTATTGTAATTTAACTTAACATTTATATTTTCATTAATTCTCAACCAGTCACCTCAATATCCCCAAAATAACTCCATGTCCATTTTTTCTAACCATGAATTCTAAATCTTTAATTTTGTTTTTGGAATTCAGAATTTTCTATGAATAGCATTATAAATGTTACAGTACTTAAATGTAATAATATTAGATTGAACCATCTGGAAGAATTTTTTTTGGTTCAGTCTAATTTACTAGAGATGTCTGCTATGGTCTCAGTATATCCCACAATGTAATTTTTTTAAAACACTGATATTTTAAGGGATTTAAGTAAAATATTTTTATGGACTTATTAACAGCCTGTCATGAGTGTTTAGCCTCCATATTGTTTATGATTGCCTTTTGGTTTCCTACAAATGATTCTGATTTAATTTGATAAAAACATCTGTTCCTTGCCCTAAAGATAATTGAGACTTTTTTTTTTTTAAGGTAAAAAAAGAACATTGAATCCTCATTTGACTGTGTCCTAATTATTACCTTTCCCCCCCTTACTTTGTAACACATTTTAAACTATATGCTTTATCATTATTTAATTGGGGATCTTTGCTATGTAAACTGCTACAAAATTCAAAGCCCAGTCCGTCCTCAAACTGTACACTTTGGAGTTGTACAGTGTGTGCATATTGTGGATTACCAGAATTATTTAAATATTGTGTTTTCTTGACTGTAAAGGTGTTGAGGACCATCTAACTTCATTCTAGACTTTATCACTGAAAATGGAAGTGTTTATTTATGATAATAATGGAAGGAATTCCTAGTCATGAGGGAAGGCAACTAACCTTCTAAGTTGGGAAAGATAATATTAGCATTATCAGGTCTCCATAGACCACTTATTTAAAGGCTTCCTCATTTGCTACTGACGTCTTGAATCGTAGAAGACTTTTGTGGGATGTTGTCCTGCTTATTTCCCATGATCGGTATGGAGAAGTTACATTCTTAGGGCAGGTATTAGCCTATAGATAATTATAGTAAAAATAATTAACCATATTGGTGTGGGAATTTCCTGGAAGTATTAATACAGAAACATTGCACCTGACTCACTGTGTTGGTTGGAATCAGTATTTTTATCCCATCTGGCTCAGTGAGGAACAGGAGAGAGTCAACAAGGAGTATGTGATGTCTACAGCTATCTCTGTCTTGAACGATGTCATATATCAACTAGCTGTTAAAAAAAATTAAAGCCATCCAAAGAAAGAACATCTCATTTTATGACTATGCTGAGATTTTTTTTTTAGAAATTAGGGTTAAGAAAAAGTTTATCCCCAGAAAAGTGTTGTTTTGGAAGGTTAGCCTCACCCCAAGGCCACAAACTGGCTGGGTTATATATTATATACAGCATCGTGTTAACTACAATTTTGTGTCTAGCTCAGTGAAAATAACATCAGGTCAAATACTGAAAGAGAAAGATAGAGGGATTTTGAGTCCTTTACTTTGAGTATAATAAATTTTATTTGGAGTTGTTTCATCAACAGACCTTCAAAACAGCCGTAACTGAAATTATAACGTAAGGATTATGTTTCAGACTTGGTACATTAAGACTTTTTGCTATTCAAGTTTTCTTTATATCTTATTTTTAAAATTACTACAGACATTCAGGAAGTCTCAGAAACCCTGGGAAGAGTATTCAAGTTCTAGGCAGGTTTTGGGGGTGTGCGTATTAAATGGCTTTCTTTTGTTATAAAAGATTCAGTGTTTGCATTGTATAGGCTATTATCAAACAGTTGTGTATACGCTTTAATATACAGATAGTTTATATTTTGTGTGTTGATACAGCTGTCTCATAATATTTTTACCTTCCCCATTTGATTTCCTTAAAAAATTGATGTGAGTTGAGAGGTGTTTAAGTAATAGGTACTAAAATGAGAAACTGTAAAAAATCAGACTTTGAAAGGAGTCAGGAAATAAAGAGCCATATCCAGTAAGCGATGGTATGCTTTAACCTAAATTACCACATATGCAGCATTACACTTAAGTAGAAATTATCAAGTCGATCTTTAACATCTGTTTCTCCTCCCTGCCTTAGTACTGGTAAGTCCTTATGGCTTAAATGGCACGCTGACAGGCCAAGCATACAAGATGTCAGACCCTGCCACCCGTAAGTTGATTGAGGAATGGCAGTATTTCTACCCAATGGTGCTGAAAAAGAAAGAGGAGTTGAAAGAAGAAGAGGAGTTGGGATATGATGATGATTTCCCTGTGGCAGTCGAAGTAATTGTTGGTAAGAGAAAATATTTTGCCTGAAGAACTTTGTTCTATCTTCTTCATCTTTCTTAATTTAAAAAGATAATCATTGAGATTCATCAAAAATAAGCTCCGTAATTCTCCCATCTTTTTTTTTATTCTCTTGACACCGTGGTATATGCTGAGTAGTTATCTTGCCTGAAGCACCGAGGTCCCTGTATTCCAAATGCTATTATCATAATGTTGGAGCACATGTTTAAACAGCTATTAACTTAGGAAAGAATGGAGCACATCACTTCTGGCAGGACCTCACGGGCGTCTCATGTTCATCCTTGAGCTTTGCCTCTGACCGCTAGAATGATCAAGTCGGCAGCCTGCTGTGAGCTGTTTCTCAGGCCCGGTTCACTCCTTGCCCTCTTTCCTCACAGGTGGCGTTCGGATGGTTTATCCTTCAGCATTTGTTTTAATCTCTCAGAATGACATACCGGTTCCTCAGAGCGTTGCCGGTGCTGGAGGCCATATTACCGTCGGGCAGCAGGGACTGGGTAGTGTGAAGGACCCAAGTAACTGTGGAATGCCTCTCACCCCTCCCACCTCTCCAGAACAGGCTGTAATGGGTGAGTACAATCCAGGCATGTCCTAGGTGGAGGAGGTCACAGAAAAGTACGTAGTTCCCTTGCCGTGGGACGGATGAGCAAACTCACGGTGAGTGAGACATGCCTTGTGGAGGAGGTGGAAGGAACACGACAGGGGGATTTTGCAAAATGGAGGAAGAAAATTTTCGGCAAACGCAATTCCGGTGCTTCAAAATTTTAATTGTGCTGTGTTAGTCTCCACTCCATTCGGACAGTGTGGTTGCTTCTCTTCAGTTCGGTACACACTTCTATCCCTTTACACAAAATTAGGGCACAAGACGTAGGCTGCTCTTTTTTTCCTTAAACGGTGGAAAACACTAAATCAGAATGGCTGAAGCGTGTGTCCAGTTCACCATTGCCAGCCAAGGGCAAGTCTAGGATGATTCTTTCCTTATTATATTATAAAGTTAGACTGGCATCTAGGAACTCCGAATCAAATAATTTGTTCTGTCAGTAATCTGTCCACATTAGTGACAAGTATTAATTACATGTGAAAAATTTAAAAATGTCCTTAATGGAAAAATTCAGAAATTGTTTAAATTGGGAGCATTTTGCCTTCTTTGTTGAGTGGTATATTTTCTGTGTTAACTTTTTGGTTGTTGTAGTTGACTTCATTTTAATTGGAAATCTAGTCAGTAAGGAAAGGATACTCATCGGACTTGAACTGAAGTGAGATCATTTATAGGCTTTTTTAATGCGGGCCACGTTAGCAAAAGCATCAGAGTAAATAAAGTCTTGGGTGGTGAACTGAAAACAGGCTATCAAGCATGGTACATACTTCGTGGTTATTTTCACGAGATGAGATAAGACAGTATTTCAGAATTTCTAGCATGCTGCTTGGCGTGTGGAGGGTATTCAGTAAATGTTCATGGCTAAGCAATATATTGGGGACAAGGATAGATACTGTGATTGAATGCACCTAATTTAAAAACCTGGCTGTGTAGCTTTTACTAGGTGAGTTGGCTGTACTCACTTCTCATGCTTGTCTTGAACCTCCGTCTCCTTCTCTGTTAAGTACCATGTACTTTACAGAGCTGTTACACATGCTAGGTGACGTACTCGCCAGAGCTCTGTAAGCAGCGGAGCAGTATGTGGATGGTGGCATAAGTGGTTTTAAAGCGGTACTCAAGACACCAGCTCCAGCACACGTATTGTGGTATCTAGAAGGAATTATTCAGAAACTGTGTGGAAGGCATACAAGTGGGCAACACGCAGCCTCTGTCTTTGGGAGCAACGCACTTGCTAACACCGTGAAAAAAGGACATCCGACTCTAATATGGTGCAGCAGAGAATTTGGATGACCCGTTGTGAAAGGATTTGCTCAGTGTTTATTCAAAAAGAAAAAAGAGAAAAACGCTTTGACAGTTTTGTTTAATAATCATCATAGAAAAGATCTATTAATATAAAGACTAGAATTATCGGTATTTTGAAAAGTTGGTTAATTACATTTCCTCTTGAGGCTTGGATTTTAAACTCTTGGGCTACATAAGTTGTCATCAGTTTTTGTTTATTTATCTGGTTGTTTTTCTTTTTCCTGGTACTTGGTGAAATTTATATTTAATGTAAAATTGAAAGCCTGCTGTATGCATGATGTCCTGGCATCCTGTCAGTTCAGAACTCTGAATTTCACAATTCAGAAACACCAGGTTTTGTTTATGGTGGTTTTCAGTAGGGACTTCCTCACTGTAGATCTTCAAATTACTTTGCCTGGACTCTGTGTGAGTATCATTGTGCTAAGCCCTGGGTAAATAAGTCCCCTGATGCCTGTGCTCGCTCGCTCTCTCTCTCTCTAACTAACTAACTAAAAGCAACTGGAATCTTTGTAAAATGAATTTGTCTAAATTTTCATATGTGATAATAATTATGATACGTTGAAGTATAGCTTAGGACTCCTAATGTTTCTCAGAGTCCTGCTCAGCCTTGTCATTTGTGTAATGACTAACATTGCACATTGACGTTTTCCTAGATACAGGACAAAATGGGTTCCCTTTTCCCCTAAGATGGCCAAAAATCTCCTAGATTAGCAGGGGAAGGAGGCCAGCTGGTTTTGGTGAAATCATTCATGCCACACGTAGATTGCACCTTCTGTTTATAGAGATAATTTTGAGAAACAATATTCAACATGTATTGGACAGCATGGAGTACAAGTCTTATTTAATTCCCTTTGAGATATCATCCACCTTTTAGTTCAGTCATTAAAAGCTACTGAAAAGCATGAACTCAGTTTTAATCAGGAAAGACTGTGCCTTATCTTCCCCACCCGTCTCTTTCTTTGTTCATAAATTATCCCTTATGGTGCCATGGACATATGATCTCTTTAGCTAAATTGTAAGCTGTTTGGGGGACAAAGGGCTGTGTTTTCTGTTTATTTCTCCACTTTTCCTAGTTTTATAATAAGCATTTGAAAATCCATTATAAAATTGAAATGAATTACTTTGTATCACAAACCAAGTAAAGATGAAAGATGGTAATGAAAGACCAAATTTCTTGTCTCCTTTAACTTAACTCATTTGTAATAGAATAATACTTTTATAGGGAACAAGCAAGCAGTCTTCAGTTCCTTAGAATCGTAAGCATTTTGACACTGGCCTTTGTTTTTTGTTTTTTTAAGATAGAGCTAAGCCTAACCATTCAACTTATATAACAGTAGTGTTCCATTGTTATCAGGACTATTAACTTGTGGTATTAGGATGTTTGTTTATCTTTCAGATGAGGGTACAGATTTCTAGGGTGCTTAAAATTGATTATTTCGGTCAAGATGTTTTGATCATAGTTCGGTTGAGAATAAAACCCGGGATTTATTTATGAAGTCAAAGGGATGAAAGTAATTGAATCAGAATCTAATACTGAAAATCAACTTCAGTATTTGTCTTGTATGAGATAGAAGTAGTAAAATACTCATAACCAATAATCAGTATTACCAGCAATCATAATCAACATAATAGAAAGAAATGGATTACATACCAACTATAGTTGGGAAAACTCAGTGGAGTTATTAGAGAGAAACTAGTGAATAATCCTCTGATACAGAATGTCGAGACAACCTCTTTCAGTGTTTTAGCACTAAGCTTTCATAAATAGTGTCAGGCATAAGGACAGACAGTTCCACACACAAATTTGAAATCTGACCTTGTTAAAAGCTTTGTGCCATTAAGTTCTTTTCTCCTACCCAGGGCACTGGGTGCAGTTGCACAGCCGTTAAGCTAAATGAGCATAAAGCTCCCTCTACTGTTTTGTTCTTCCTTGAAACTTAATTTATTGTATTGGGGATTTAAAAATTTAAAACAATCTATTCATGTTTACATTTTTAATGTTACTGTGTGAACCCTTACAAGTAAGTTGTCTCCAATATCTGTAGAGTAGGAATGCCTCTGTGTGGGCACGCCCTTGGGGTGCGTGAGTGTCGATGTGTTTAACTATGTTAGGGAGAACACAGAGAAGCATACACAGTGCCGGTCTACAAATTATGCTCATAGTTACAGATAGTGCTGTTGCCAGGGGGGTGGGAACAAAGCTACATGAATAATACGAGTTTCAACAATCAAAATATTTCTGTTAAATAAGCTTGCGGTCTATGTACAAGGAGACCTTTTCGGATAATTTCCAAATTACAGATTGTCTTTCTTTTTCAGGGGAGAGCGGAGGTACGCAGAGTGCGGTCAGTCACCTAGGTTCCCAAGACGGGGGGATGATAACTATGCACAGTCCAAAGAGATCGGGGAAGATTCCTCCAAAACTCCACAATCACATGGTCCATCGAGTCTGGAAGGAATGCATCCTCAACAGAACCCAGTCCAAGTATGACTTCTGCATTCTGTCTGGGTCATGCTCCAGTAGCCGTCTCTTTGATTACTACATGAAGAGTGTCGATCACATTGTGCCACTGGGTGACCAAACCTGAGGGGTCATTGGATTCGTAGTTCATTTTTTTTTTTTTTTAACTTAATAGCACAAAATTCAAAGCAAGGATGTTAAAGATGTTTACTTTACTGAATTTGATTATTTAGGAAATTTTGAAGTTCTGGTCATCTCAAGATTGGCACAGTATTCATCTGGCATTTTTTTTAGCACAGATGGTTTAGGACAGTAGTCAGTGGGTGTGGTTTTCCTTCGGATACCAATTTATGAATGTTTTCTATTTACAAAGGGAAATGACCTTTGTCGCATTTTCTGTGACATTGGCCTTCTGTTTTAAATGACAGTACAGTTCTGAACTGAACTGATGACAGAGGGGTGTTTACCAGCAGCTGTGCTTCTGTTGGTTGATTTGGGGAAGCCATATTCTTTCTTCCCCTACCAGACTTTGCTTCCTTCCTTTCCTCCCCTACCACCTATCCTCCTGCTCTCCCTCCCTGCCTTCCTTAACATTATTCTGGAAAAGAGGAAGAATTGATTCTCAGAAGAGACTGCTGATGATTATTTTAGTTGCATGAATGAAAGCAAATAGTAGTCGATAAATACTATTCCACTTATCCAAATTTACGTAAACAGATTCAGCATATTTTCACATCTCTTTTGATAGAACTGAGATGTCCCCTTTTTTGCCTGAGGAAAGTAAACAAATGAGTCTTCCTTCTCTAGAACAGAATAAATATGGATGCTCTTGCCAATAACTGCTAAGAACTCCACTCCTTTTAGAAATTAATTAAGTGTTCTTCAGTGACTACTTAGAGTTCTGTATACAGATTTAAAACCTGTCATTTGGATCGAGCTTTTAGGAAATTCATACTATGTATTTATTCCTCAGTGAATTGGTTCTGGAGTAGGCTGCTGATGAAGATATAGTACATAAAATCTAGAATAGTTGCAGCGGGAGATTATATATCATGTTATAGAATTAAAAAGGTATCTTTAGTCACTAAAAAATGATCCTTTTCTTTAGAATAATTGGTACAGGTGTTTTCACCTCTATCTACAATGCCTAGATGGTTTCCAAGTTAACATTTTCTTTTTCTTTTCCTGACATTTACTGTCTTTGATTTTTGTCACCACTAACCTATCACCTTCGCCAACTCTAACAGCCCTTTGGGGCAGCAGCACAGCAGGGAAGTGACACCCAGAAAGGCAGGGGAGGGTAGAGAGCAAGAGAAGTCCCTCCAGAGCCGTCATCGAAGCACTTTGCAATATCAGCTGTGGCAGAATCAGCAATACAAAAATACTGCCCGGTGTTTTCTTGTCACTGTGTAATAACAGACACTGCTTTTTGCTACCAATTACCAGTGACATGTAAGAGGTCATTTTTTTCTTGTCTTTAATTCACATTACAAGTGTAAAGTGCTGCCCTTAAATGCTAGTAAATATAGGAGTTTTAAGAATGATTTAAATAGTCTGTCCCAGGGCATGTAATTCACAGATGCTGCGAAAAGATAATTTTAAAAATTTTGGTTATTTCTACAAAATTTAGGTGGCTGTTTAAAGCAACGGCCCATAGTGCCAGGTAGTGTTTTAATTGCTCTGTGTGTCACCCATGTTCAAATGTACTTTATTCTTAAACAGAAGTATTTTGGATCCTGCTTCTTCTAGTGCAAAGAACAAGTTGGTTCCCCCCCCACACACACACATCCTAGCCTTGGGTCGCTTTGAGCCATCTCTCAGCTAGCTAACATTACTATGTGTGATGTATTTGGGTCTTTTAAACATTTTTCTCCCAGAGGTACGAATATTATCTCATGTTGACACAACTCACCTTTTTAACCTTATGTAGGAGGAGCCAAATGTCGACTCCAACTCTTGAAGAAGAGCCTGCTAATAATCCTGCTACTTGGGATTTTGTGGATCCAACCCAAAGAGTCAGCTGTTCTTGCTCTAGGTAGGTGGTGGACGAGGCAGAACGGGGGTCGGATCGGATGGTGGCACCTTTTGTTGGCTGTGTCTCCTGGACTCTCAGACCACTTCTTCCCCATCATTTTGTTTTGTCTTTTCTGTTCAGCCTTCTTCCTCCTCCAGTAGAGAAGAAAAAGATAAGTCTTTTTTTCTATGCAGATGGTACGGTTTTATTGTCAGGCCTCAAAAAGAGCTTTGTTAGATGACTGGCCCTGTGATCCAATTGTTCCCACAAGTTTCTTCACAGTAGCTACCTCAAAACTAAAGGCATCAGTTTGATAAGACAGTCTCTTCCCCTTTAAATGAGTTTATTTCATAATTCTTAATTTTAAAGTAGAGATAAATATTAAATAAGTTGGCTGGAATTTATAGGATTTGGATTAAACAGGCCTTCCATAGATAATTTGTTTTGTTGTTGGTACTGCTGGTGTGTTTTGATGCTTGAGGCAGGTATTTGGTAACAACATCTGCCAATGGCTAAAATTCTTGTTCATTCATTTAGATATTTGAATAGAACCCTGAGTTGATCTCTGTAGAAAATTTTTGCTCTCATGGGTATTACCTTGACTTACCACTCCTTGTGGTAGTGGAGTCCTATTGTCCTGGGCACTCATGAGGGTTCTTAGGTTTCTTTTCTTTTCTCTTCTTTCCTTTCTTAATTTATTTCGAGAGAGAAAAAATGAGAGCGTGCAAGTGGCAAAGGGGGGGGGGGAGAAAGAGAGAGAGAGAGGATATGAATCTTAAGCAGGCTCCATACTCAGCACTGAGCCCAACGCAGGGCTCAATCCCACAACCCTGGGATCATGACCTGAGCCAAAATTAAGAGCTGGTTGCTTAACCGACTGAGGCACCTGGCACCCCAAGGTTCTTGGATTTCTTAAGTGTGTGTCAGCCTTACCCCCAGCTCAGCTGACTGTTGAACATGTGATGGTGATTATTCACTTAATGAGCAACTAAGAGTAGCTTTGCTTCCAAACTGTGTATTTTCACATGGGATACTGCTTAGCACTTAGAAAAAGTTCAGTGGAGATCATGCATATTAAGAAAAAGGCCATTCATTTCCCTAGTTTAGATAGGGGTTCTTAATGTGGCATAAATAAGTTGGCTTCCGAGTAAGGAGGCAGTCAAATGACCCCTGAGAATATATGCAAACTGTGTGTGTGTGTGTGTGTGTGCACGCATGCACACGTGCGCGTGTATACACACTTAAACAACAGTTTTGACACCACCTTCCTGTCCTCCCCTGCCCTTATTGTTGATTCTCTTTGTCAAGCTCTGCCTTACTAGTCAGCCTTTTTTTTTTTTTTCCTTTGAGAAACATTGTAAGTATCAGCCTAATAAAACTCACTATTGATTTTTTCAAAGAGGATGTTTTTGAAGAAGTTGCTCCTCTCTGAGCATGTGAGAATCTCTCTCTGATCTCAGGGTAGGTATGGTATGTCAGCTGAATCTCTGTTTTACTTCTGTTTCTTGGCCATTGTAAATTGTGTGACAAAAAGTATTTTCCTATTAACATGGATTTCTAAACCGCCTACAGCCAAGTTATAGGCCACCTTTAGAAAGCACCTAGGATAAAAATGTTAGTGTATTTAACTTTGCTTGTGCCTTCGTCTTGTTTTTGGTCTTAATCTAGATTTTTCACCTTTTTACTGATTTCTGTGACATTTTTATTTGGTACCTCAAGTTCTTTTTACCTGAAGTGTAAATAAATAACACGTTTTCTTTTGTCCCCTGAAGTTAATCCTTTTTTTTCTTCACCAGATCTTTACCTTCAGGTCTGTTTTGTAGTTATGCATTTGATTCTGTTGAGTCCCAAATATTTATCTCTAGATGTGACTTCCCATATATGCTTTAGTCTTATAATTACGGGGGTACCTTTGAGAAATACCCTTGATATTGACAAGTCTCTTTTCTCACAGATCAGGCACATTTTTTTAAGTCACCATTTTCCCTTCTCAGCCTAGAGACATTATCATTTATATATTTTTCTTCTGTTTTATAGATGATTTTTATCCTTGTATTTCACAATGACTTCCTTTGAAATATCTATGATAGTAATTCTATTTTCCCCATTCTTCTAGCCACTGTGTGTGTTTCTACAATGTTTGGCCCTGCTTCTGGTTTCTTCCCACCAATGGACCACCCATATAGTTAGCTTTCTGAGCCTGATCTGCCTGCCTGCTCCATGGAGGCCTTTTACCTGTTCAGAGATTTGCAGTGATAGTCTGTTACTTACTGATGTGTCCCTAATTGTAACCATTTCACAATGTAGCTGAGTCGTTAAGTACAATTGAAAAAAAAAAAATGACTTTATATGAGATTATCTAGTTTGCAAAAAGTCCTTACTTTGAAGAGGCTATCATAAAATATCTATCAAAGGATTGGTGTGGTGGTGTGGTTAAATGCTCTGAGAAAGTCCAAATGAAAAGGTTTTATGTAAAAGACTTTTAGAGCTTAGGTTTTAAAATAAGCACCCGTAGAAGATTTGATTGAGATATTTTTCAGATGAGACATTCACCTCTTACTGTGGTATGGTGCCCTGCAGATTTAAAGCACAATTTTTACCTTATTGACAATAGCCTTATGCTTAAACAACCTTCTTCAAAGTCAGAATTTTTTTTTTTTTTTTTTTGAGTAGCAAGGACTTTAGCAAGAGTCTTTTTGGATTATCTACTGCAGGATTACCAAACCCATTATGGAATGGTCCACTCCTCACACTGTTTAATGGCCTTATGGGGCAGGGTGGCCATCCTGCTGTCCCACTAAACCATCCCATTATGCCACACAAATCCGTTTTACTGCCCACTAGGGCATCATTTAGTGCAATGCAGCAGTAATTTAATGCCACCCTAGCGGCCTCAGAGAGTTACTGCTACACCGGCAGGAGAGCTTACATGTTTCCCTGGGTTGATTTATATATTGGGAGGAACTGGCTGACCTGCTATATAACTTTGTTGCACAGATTAAACCTTGGCATCGTCTCGTGGGCCCTTACTGAGCAATATCTCACACCTGTGCTTACCAAGAAGTGTGTTAGGGTATGAGCAGACTTGCCATCCTGCTTAGTACAGGTGCATTTGTGTACATGTGTGCTTTTAGTATTCACTCCCCCTCTTCTTACTTCTAAGTTTGTGAGTCTATAAGATCCAAAGTTGTCTTTCCTTCCTTCTTTTTTCCAATAATAGTGGCATATAAGGTTTGTAGTCTGCTTATTCTATTAAATATTTGTAGGATCGACCCTTGGTTTCACACTTTGGGGGAAAATCGCATAATTATTTTGTTCCCGATTGACAAGACTACAAGCTGTTATAAACCATTCTATATTGGACTTAGTAGAGTGTTTGTTGTAAGATAGAAATTGGAAGCTTTTTTTTCTCTCTTTCTTGGTGAATGATCTCATTACTCTTGGTTTTAAAATGCAGTGTGAACACGTTATCTGAGTCCCTTACCAAATTTGAAAGATTTGGGAATTTTGCAAATCCGTCTTTTGGTACGCGCTAGCGACATTAAGTCCGTCTCTTACCTGCTGGATTGTATGCGATCGGTTCACTACTCTCTGTCAGAGTGTGTTGCAGTTTTTGTTATTAGAAAAATAATGAGCCTGGAGACCTTTTCCGTGTGTTAGTGCAGCCAGTGTGTGCTTAGAAGGTACAGCCTTCTCAGAGGCATCTCTTTTGTAATGTCATAATGGTGCAGGGATGTCATACTTCCAGAAGAGTGCGGTTGTTCTCAGGTGTGCGTTTCTTAACCTTATTTTAATTCTCATTTCAGGCATAAACTTCTAAAACGTTGTGCAGTAGGACCCAGTCGACCTCCCGCAGCATCTCAGCCAGGCTTCGGTGCAGGACCATCATCATCTTCATCTTTACCACCTCCTGCTTCCAAGCACAAAACGACAGAAAGACCAGAAAAGGGAGACAAGTTGCAGAAGAGACCCTTGATACCATTTCACCACAGGCCGTCTGTGGCTGACGAGTTCTGTGTGGAGCAAGATACACCAGGACAGAAGCTAGGGTTGGCAGGGATCGACTCCTCCCTAGAGGTGTCTAGCAGTAGGAAGTATGATAAACAAATGGCCGTGCCTTCCAGAAATACAAGCAAGCAAATGAATCTGAATCCTATGGATTCACCTCATTCCCCTATTTCCCCTCTGCCGCCAACACTCAGCCCTCAGCCACGAGGTCAGGAAACGGAGAGTTTGGACCCGCCATCTGTCCCTGTGAACCCAGCCCTCTATGGAAACGGGCTAGAACTCCAGCAGTTGTCAACTCTGGATGACAGAACTGTCCTCGTAGGCCAAAGACTGCCTCTGATGGCAGAGGTCAGCGAGACAGCCTTATATTGTGGGATTAGGCCCTCGAACCCGGAGTCGTCAGACAAGTCGTGGAACAGCTACCGTCTCCCACCCGTTGACGATGCTGAGTTCCGGCCTCCAGAGCTCCAGGGCGAGAGGTGTGATGCCAAAATGGAGGTAAACTCAGAGAGCACCGCGCTGCAAAGGTGAGGAGACTCTGTCCCACCCACCCGATCGCCCGTCGACCGAGGCATAGGGTCTTGAGGATCAGGGCTACCCTCCTCATGTCTCCATTCTGTCCCTCCAGAGCCAAATGAAAGAGGCTTTTCTTCACCATTCGAGACTCTGCATTTGGAAAGTGTTTCAAAGTCAAGTGCTTTGTCCTTCTTGAGGTTTCACACACATGCACACACGTGTCATTGTTTAAACATGTTGGCATATAAAGGTTTCATTATGGCATTTAGTGCATTAGTACGGATTTATTTTTGGCCTGCTGTTCGTTAGTCACAGAACATAGCTTGGTGAGACTTTCCGTATTGTGGTCAGTGCCACCTTTATATGTTGGCACTTTTAAGGAGGGCTTCGGGTGCATTCAAGTGTGTATCCTGCATCTAGTAATAATACTATTTATAGCGCTTTTGAGCTGCCCCATTATTCTTCACAGTTTACACAGACCATCTCAGTTACTCTTCACCACCACCATATTACTACTTTATTTCATAGCTGAGAAAGAAGCGAGGGTCATGCGGTTAGTCACTGGCGTAGATTGAACTTGAACCTAGACAGTCTGTTCTTAAAGCCCATCTGTGCTCTTAACCGGAATCCATGGAATCAGAGACAAAAGCATCTACTCCTCACAAAGACCTACTAAGTTTTATTTGTGAACGTACTCTCTAAAAGAACTTCTTTATAGAGATAAATTTTCTAAGTTTCATTTAAGCTTTGCAAATGCTTTAAATCATAAGTGCTTTTTTTTTTTAAACATCAATCTTTTTACTTTAGCTTGCTTAAATCATTGTTTGTTTTCCCTTTTAGACTCTTAGCACAACCTAACAAACGGTTTAAAATCTGGCAAGAAAAGCAGCCCCAGATGCAGCCACTCCACTTCCTTGACCCATTGCCTCTGTCTCAGCAACCTGGAGACAGTTTGGGAGAAGTCAATGATCCATACACCTTTGAGGATGGCGACATAAAATACATCTTTACGGCAAACAAGAAATGCAAACAAGGGGCAGAGAAAGATTCCCTGAAAAAGAATAAGGTACCATTTAACATAGAGGGTGTCCAGCATGGTGTGGGTTTTGATCTCTGTCAGTACAACGTGTGTGGGAAAACTTCTGAGGCAGAATGTTTGAGATAGTCTTGCCTGATTGCTCTGTCCCCATATTCATGCTCTTGGTACTATTGTATTGAACAGCGTATTGTTCCTTTTTATGTCATGGCTCACCTTTGTTTAAGAGTCCGCTGAGCATAAATGAAGCCTCATATTTTCCAGGCTGTAGCTTGTACAGTGCATGCTTCCTCTCATACGCTAATTCTGGTTGGCCTATGCTCCCTGCTCCCTTCTTTTTAATTATTATTCCAAAACACCCAAAATGTGAAGAAAAAATAGGCTGATGACAGTGTCTATTGTTTATTGAGTGCTTGGTATGTCTACCATACCAAGTGCTTTATATATATGTCTGAATTAATACCAACACTACCTCCTGGCTTATGTCGGTATTACTTTTACTGGTTTCATTGTCATAAAATCGAGTACTGGGGGTGTGTGCTGTCTTTAGCCTTAAATTTTATAGCATTCCAAAATACTGGGCCATTTAAAGAGGTATTCTTGAGAGTAGAGGAAATAGGACAATTAACAAGCCAGTACCGTTCCGGAAAATGCTTCCAGGATTCCTTTACAGAGATCTGTCTGGGTCCAGAAAGCTCGAACCACAATTCAGCATCTAAAATGTTATTAAAGGCAGCTTTTAACACCATGGCAGGACTGTAGTCAAATGCCACCAGTACTGATTAGCCATAAAACCCAGATTGACTCAGAATATGCCATAGGATTGGAGGGAAAGTGTGGGAGTTTTGGGTTCTGTTTAAATTCAGGGAAAAGGACCGATCTTTTATTTCCCTTGGTTGCATAGACCATGGTTTATCATACTTGTGCTCATAACAAGTTCCATTCTCCCCTCTAATTCTTTGTGTTCTCCCTCATATTCCACACTTTGGGTTGGTGTTCATGTGTTTTGTTTGGCTGAATTTATTATACAGTCAGAGGATGGATTTGGTACCAAGGATGTCACTACACCAGGTCATTCCACGCCGGTGCCTGATGGGAAAAATGCCATGTCTATTTTCAGTTCTGCTACTAAAACAGGTGTGTACAATGATTATTTGCCTCACTTGGATTGTTGCTAAAGTAAAATGCAAGGGAGATGCTTCTCAATTTAGAATTATATTTTTACTGTAATACCAATAATTTGATCTCATCTTGAATTTTTCATTGTTTGTTTTTCAGTTATTTTCAAAACTGATAAACATATTTGGAAATAATTGTCTCTAAATTTAACTGAAAACCTAGGGAAAAAATTCACAGGCAGGTCTGCTCGTTGAGACCCATGTCCTCTCCTCGGTCCTCTCTCGGTAAAGTTGTTCATTCTGGGTCTTCGCCTCCTTCCCTGCAGATGTCCGGCAGGACAGTGCTGCTGGCAGAGCCGGCTCCAGTAGCCTTACCCAGGTGACAGATCTGGCACCTTCCCTGCACGACCTAGACAACATCTTTGATAATTCCGATGACGACGAACTTGGGGTGAGTCTGCCATGGCTCCACAAGCAGAAACTTCCCGAAATGGGAGGATGTGTGTCGCTGTTGGAGCTCCTCCTTACTGTTTGGTCTGCTGAATTTGGGGGCCCTGTTTCAGGTTCAGAATCCTCTTCAAAAACGTTGGTATACCTTGAAAGGATTCTAAAAGTGGCTCGTGTCGTCTCTAACACGCCTTGGGTTCTGTTTGTTGATGGTTGTTTTTTTTGTTTTTTTATTATTAGTGTTATTCCTGTTGTAAATATTAAAATCTTTCACATTCAGTATAAGTGCTGCCGAAGCTTCACATTTAGTTTAAAAACATTTTTTTTAAAGACTGAGCGCTTTTTTTTCTTTTAGGTTTTATTTATTTATTTTGAAAGAAACAGAAAGCGAGTGGGAGAGGGGCAAAGAGGGAGAGAATCCCCAGCAGGCTCTGTGCTGTCAGCACGGAACCCAACATAGGGCTCGAACTCACAAACCACGAGATCGTAACCTGAGCCGAAACCAAGAAGTCGATGCTTAGCTGACTGAGCCACCCAGCTGCTCCTTTCACAGTTAATTTTTAAATCCTTCTAACTATCATGAGACTAGTAGAAGTGTATTATGTAGACCCTTTAGCTCAGATTTTAAAGATAATGCCCATAACGTTTTATTCATCTCATCAGTCAGAAAGTAGTCTACATTTTGAGAGATAGACGAGTATGATGCATACTTTTTAAGGTTATGACACCGTAGTGGGGAAGTAGGATTTACGTACAAAGAAGTTAAATAATACCAGGTATGATGTGGTTAAAGTGACAGATAAAATTTAAAATTCTTGGGTGAACAGCTGAACTGAGTCAGGAAATTTGTGTCCTCATCCTCCTAACCACCTGTGTACTTTTGGGCAAATAGAAGTACCTATAATTTCTGGGGGGCCTAGAAATGAGTAAGATAGGCCCTCTCTTCAGAGAAGTAAGTTTATTTTTCTATCACTTATGTATTTACCTTCCTTCCCTTCTGCCCTTTTCCCATATATTTGTTAATCACTTGATGGTCAGTTCCGTTGTGACATGTACACGAGGTTACAAATATTACCACCCTTATACTTGAGATACTCACAGACCTCAGGAGAAATAGCTTGTAAATAAATGTAAACATATACTTCAAAAATACACACACACACACACACACACACGTGTACGTACTTATTACTGAGAGTGTAGTAATTGACTTGCGTCTAAAGATGATGGGTGTTCAAGTACGAAGTGACAGGCAAACAGTGTTTAAGTTAAGGCTTAAACTTTAAGTAGGAATCAGAATTCTAAAGCCTGTTCTCACTGTAAAATAAAATGTATCTGATTAACCGATATTTTACACTATTAGTAATGTAAGTACTTAGAAGATGATATCATAATGGCCTCCAAGAATGGATTTGACTTGAGATGTGGAAAGACAGGGTTATTGAGATAGAGGGGAGAGACATCAGTTCGAGCCTGGAATGAGCCTTGATTAAGCAACAAGAACGAACTAGCTTGGGGTTGGGGGGATAAAGAACAGACCACTGGTCTGCTCTCTGACTGGTGGGTAAAGATTGACAGGGTTAAGAAGGTTTTTGACCATCCTTATGGCTTTGGACTTTGAACTCGGCCTGTAATATGTTCCTCTGTGAAGGCTGCTGAGTGTGGACCTGAGCTGGCTTCCATCAGTCTCTTACACAGAAAGCAGGGGTACTGTTGGGTAACTTTCGTTGGATTAAAACACAAGGACCTAAATTCAGGCAGTGGCTGCATGAAGGAAAAGGACACGGCAAGGAGAAAAACATTAATACGAGAAATGACATGTTTCCTTGTGGTAGATCCGGGCATCGGAGAGCCATTTGGAACGTGACTGTCGCCCTAAAGCCGGGTATTGTCTGGGATTGGTTTTGATGATCCTTAGGGTTTGGTCAGATGCTTCGGTAGTGATGGTGGGGAGGAAATATGAAAAGGAATTAAAGAGAAGTAGAAAGAAGTAAGAAAAGGGAAAAAGCAAGCATTACAGAGCAGCTGGGGACTGTTCACACCACCATCCCTAGTGATTCCTGTTGGTGTCCGAGCCCCGGCACTTATACTCCCTGTGTAAATCATGTATTCCTGTTGGACCAAATGAAGATACATTTACTTTTTTTTTTTTTAATATAGTTTTAGGAACGTTAATGTGTGATGGAGGGTTGGCCATTTTTAATCTAATTTTCATTTCTCCGAAATGTTTGTTCACTCTGATTTCTAGCCTGGCATTTAATCAAGAGAATCATTCACCTTAGAACCGTTTTTGCTAATTTGTCTTACTGATAACTCGCATTATGTGGCTGTTGTCCACGTTTCATCTCAGATGTCTTTGAATTTAATTTCACACTTCAACTCTATGTCATTGAATAAATACACATAAAGGCTTTCTGTTTGTGAGAATCTTTTTTCCTTTGGTCACCAATTCATTTGAGTTCTTAAAGATAATCTTGCCTATTAAAAGACTTAATTTCTTTTGAATAACAAAGAAAATTCCTCTGCATATTTCAGTAATTTTATGTGATATGGTTATTTTTTATGAAGAAGAATAGTAAATGTGGGAATAGGAGTAGAAGATACGTGTTCGTGTGTGTGTGTGTGTGTGTGTGTGTGTGCGCTTGTGTGTGTGTGTGGTGAAAAATGAAAGCGTAATACTTTGGGAGGACTTGAGGTCACTTCTTTTAACTGCCTGCTTCCAAACAGAAGGAAAACCAGACTGATAATTAATTACTACTTGGAGGCACCACCCTAATTTAATTATTGTGTCCCTGAAACCACTTCTCTAATCACCTGGGAGGAAGATTTGCTTAAGGTCTGCAAGTTCTGCTTTGCTGGTGCAATCTGCCCTTACAAGATCTGTGCAGAGACTTAGTCACTCTGGTTTTCATTCTTGATAAGCTTGTAGCCTTCTCCTTTGCTTCACTGTCTGCTGGTATTACCAGAAGTTCGCTTGGTAAATCCTGTGTAAGGAAGCATCTTTCCTTCATTCCAGAATATCAGTAGGCACATGTTAAGAAATAGTTGACTAATGGGGCGCCTGGGTGGTTCAGTCGGTTGAGCGTCTGACTTCAGCCCAGGTCATGATCCCGCACTTCAGGCGTTCGAGCCCTGCGTCGGGCTCTGTGCTGGCGGCTTGGAGCCTGGACCCTGCTTCGGATTCTGTGTCTTCCCTGCTGTCTGCCCCTCCCCCACTTGCACTCTGTCTCTCTGTCTCCCAGAAATAAACAAACATTTAAAAAAAATCCAAAAAAAAGAAAAAGAAGTAGTTGTGGCTCTACTTGTATACACGTGTGTTGCCCTGTTTTAATAAAAATAATCTTTCCTTAGGCTGCATCACCTGCGCTGCGCTCATCCAAAATGCCTGCAGTTGGGGCAGAAGACCGGCCTCTTGGGAAGGACGGAAGAGCTGCTGTTCCATACCCACCAAGTAAGAAAAGGAAATTGAGCTTTGCCGTGCTATTTACAACTTACACAGAGTGTTCTCATACTCACTGGTGCCTTATCTGAGACTCCCCTCTCCCTGCCTCTTTTCTTTTAACGGAATATTAACTGCAAGTGAAAACTTGTACAAGTTAGAATGCCTTCAATGGCAGGCAGCTAAGACACCATCTTCGTTTGAATTCCTTTTGCTGTTTTTTTCAAATTAAGAATTAACTTTTGTGGTTTAAAATGTGGAAAAACATGTTTTAGGTTTGTTTCTCTAATAGCCCTTTTCCCAGTAGAATAAATGCTACGCAATGATTTTTAGAATGATATTCCACTATAAGAGTGTAAGATGTTTCAATTTTCGTAAATTTAATTTACACAAGAATGATGAACATTTGTTTTCTATGGTCCTTTTCCTAATTCATACTGAGCTTTTTGTGTTTCCTTTTGAGATCAACTACTTTATTATGTTTGATGACAAGAGGAGGAACTTCTTCCCCCACCCCCACCCCCCACCCCCCCCAATTATTCTTCACCCTAGGAAACTACATTATTCTACGAGAGAAAAGAAAGTCAGGGTAGCTTATGTGGATACTCTGAAGCAGAAACATAATTCCATTGCAAATCATTCTTTAATACCTTCTCATTAACTTCAGCTGGTAATGAGAAGAAATTGAGGGGAAAAACCACTATGTCATAGGGATGAGTCAAAAAGTTTTATGAACCTATAAATGTGTGCTGATTTACTCAAATGTAGAAGTGTGAAGTATACAGAGATTGGATTTTGACAGCTTTAGGAGATCCATAGCTTTTTAAAATATGCAAAGCTTTCTCAAGCATGACATGTATGAAAATGAATAATGGTAGTCAGCCAGTCGCTGTAGTTTTTTTTAATTAAACATTTTTCTTTTTTTATTACTCTGCACTGCAGAATTTTGCAAACATGGAATTCACAGATTAAAAGAAACAATATTAAGATAGATACCTATGGAATAGGTCAGATGAATGAATTTTTTCCCTTGTTTTGAACCAGTTAATCCGCTGCCCTTTTTGACATTAAGTGACAATGTAGCGATGTTAAATGTTAAAATGTCTGATGACTTGTCCAAGATTATTGGACTCAAAATATTGCATTCAGAAACCACTCTGCTAGGAAGTGTCATTGCTCAGGAAAGTATATGGTATACTTTCTTCTCTCTCTCATTTTTATTCAGAAAATAATTGTTTCAAAAAGAAGCTACTCAAAATTTTATAATAAAGTACAGGTTATAAAAATTAATTTGCAATATAGCAAAAATATTAGCATTAGGATAATACATCTATATAAGAGTGAATGGGATCTTTTGAAGTGCATGAAGTATGTGTGAGGAAATGTGTGGAAATGGACATATCTGCAATATATCCTCCCGCAACATGACAGTGAAATAGCATGGCAAGAAGTTCCTCATCTTTATTGTACATGGAGGTGGAAGACAGACATATTATAAAATTTAGTGTGTAGAGCAGCACCATCCAATGTAATAGAAATACAGTGTGAATTGAGAGCCACATAGCAATTTTAAATTTTCTGGTAGCATTAAAGAACACAAAAAGAACCATGTAAAATTAATTTAAATAATATGTTTATATAACTTAATCTAACCAAAATAGTGTCATTTTTACATGTAATCAGTATTAAAAATATTGAGGTGTTTTACATTCCCTTTTTGAACTAACTCTCTAGAACCTGGTGTATGTTTTATACGCACAGCGCGTCTCACTTTGGACAGCACCTGGTTTGCGTGCTCTAGAGCCATATGCGGCAGTGGATACGGTCTTGGACGGAATAGGTCCACAGTTACTCATTTGCATATGTCATAACATAATAATGAAGAGAGCAGCACACAGTAATAACTAGGTTTGGTTTAGCACCAAGTCTGTGTTAAGGTAATGTTATAGCAGTACATACAATAACACCCCTCATCTCCAGTCCATTCTGGTAGCTGTTCCTGCTCTTGCTTTAACATTTTTAGAGGGAAAATCCAAGAGGCAAGCCATGGAGGAGCCTTTCTTTTTGGAGGACCAGAGTGTTTCTCTGGTTTCTGTCGTCTTTCTGTCTCATCCATGTCGAGTGCAGTTTGTTTTTTCATCTCAAACGTTGTTTAGGGTCATATCTTTTCAGAAATTCCTTGTAACTTAACAGCATTTTCATCTTTTTGCAGTCAAAAGAAAACGGGCATGGCGGACTAATTATTACTCGCTTCATCACTTATTGAATGTTTCGGTGTTATGTGGCAAAGTGTTGACTTCCATGCATACGTTATGTTATTTAATGTATATCAGAAAAAAATAGGAAGGTAGATACGATTACCATTTGGCAGATGAGGAACTTGAGCTAGAGAGGCTATGAGTCTTCCTTAAGAATATCTGACAATGGGGCTCCTGGCTGGCTCAGTCAGTGGAGTGTGTGACTCTTTTTAAATTTTTTTTTACATTTATTTATTTTCGAGAGAGAGAGAGCACAAGTGGGGGAGAGGCAGAGAGAGGGAGACACAGAATCCGAAACAGGCTCCAGGCTCCGAGCTATGAGCACAGAGCCCGACGCGGGACTCGAACCCATGAACCATGAGATCATGACCTGAGCCGAAGTCAGACGCTCGTCTGACTGAGCCACCCAGGTGCCCCGGGAGTGTGTGACTCTTGATCTCAGGGTTGTGAGTTGAGACTCCCATGTTGGGTGTAGAGATTACTTAAAAATAAAATCTTAAAAAAATACAGATTTGATAATAAGAATGCTAAGGCCACTTTTTAAAGTGAATCTCTGGCAAGTGGAATCTCATTTTCCATACTTTCTTGTGTGTGTTCTTTTTTTACTTTTGATAAAAAATGTCACGGTTCCTGAGGTGTTGAAAATTGACATATGCAGCTTTGTTAGGTAGCATCAAAGAATTTGAGGATCCCCAAGTGGGAAACGCCTTTAGTACATTTCTTAGAGAAAATTTAGACACTAATTTAATAAAATAATTCTTGGTAAAATTTCATGCATAGCCAGAACACCTGTATGTGAAGGAAAGGCTTTAAGTTTGTTGTCATTTTAACACAAAGAGAATTTGTACAGTTTATTTTCCAAATATTTACTTGGTGATTAAGATCTATAGTAGGAGTTTGAAACTTTTGTGAAGCAGACTTAGAGTTTAAAATGTTATACAGAAACATTAATTTTGTTTTAAATTATCAGTAGTTTGCTCTTTGGCTTGGGAAAAGGAGTAGGGACTAAAAGATAAAGGTGATGGATGTACTTCAAGTGTAACCTAACTCAGTGTTAAAGTCTTCAGTCTTGTTTCAAGGAAAACTATTGATCTGGTGGCTGCTACATTTGAAGACCATGTTTCCTTCTCAGACTCCACTGGTTCTCTGAGATTTTCTGGCTTGGCTTGTATCCCTAGTTCCATGAATTGTCAGATTCCTTAAGGGTAAAATACTGTCCTAGCAAGAAGGTGCCTTGAAGATCTACTGGGGCGGGGGGGGGTGGCGTTAGTTTTTCCTCTTTTCTCTCTTTTCTTAGTGGCAGCCTTGGGTGCCATTTGTGATGAATCTTACAGAATCCTATTATAGGAAATAGAAGTGGAAATAAATGATGAGAGTCAAAGTTGGGATCTGAAATCCTGTCTGTTGGCCTCTTCCTTCCCTTGTTTTATAGAGGAGCACCTAAAGCCTTATTCAGGATTATATAGTTGTTTAACTGGGAAACATTGTAAAGATCATCTGGTACAGAAGTTCTCATATTCTTCTGCCTCCACATGGTGAGAGGCTTCCCATGCCCATGCGCCCTCTCCACAGAGGAAAGCCGGCAAGCCTGGTGAGAATCACACATTTAGTCCAGCCAAGTAGGTGAAGGATCGGAGGCCCTGAGGGCGGAGGTGACCTGACCTGACCATAGCAGTGCTGAGCTGTGAGCGCCTGGACTGCGGAAGCGTTCCCAGTGCTGCCGCCATGCAGCTCTGCCTCAGACTCTCTAGCGCGGGGCAGAGCACAATGTAGTTACTCCAGAAGTCCTCTCTTAGTCTGTTCAGTGGTTACCGTTTGCCTCTTCACATGTTGAAGCTACTTGGGCACCTGGGCGGCTCCGTTGGTTAAACGTCCTACTCTTGGTTTCGGCTCAGGTCATGATCTCACAGTTCGTGAGTTCAAGCCCCACGTCAGACTCTGCCCTTGACAGTGTGGCGCCTGCTTGAGATTCTCTCTCTTTTTTTCTCTCTGTACCTCCCCTGCTTTCTCTGTCTCTCTCTCTCTCTCAATAAATAAATAAACTTAAAAAAGTTTTTTAAAAAGTCTTGTAAAATGTTGACGTTGCTAGAAAGAGCAATGTGATGGGAAATTGGGACATCAGATAGCTTTCCAAAACCGTGATTTAAATTCATGGCTCCAAATTTGTAAATAAATTTGCTGTACAGGACACCCCCTAGTGGCCAAATTTCACAACCACAACTGGCATTGCATTATATTCGCCTCAGCTTTGAAGAGTCAGTCATTGCCTTAATGAGCCACTGTTCATGATGGTGGCCAACCTCAGGTATATGAAAATGCTTTTTAAAAAAAGGATTGAGAGTCACTGTTCTCTAAGTATTTCTTAAAATATCCTTTTTTTAACCAGTTGATTTTTAATAAATCTTTTGAGTCTAAGTAGGATTATTAAACCTAACTGTGAAGTTTCATTTTAATGTCAATATGGAAAGAGATCGTGGAACCATTTCCCCAAAGAGCAGTGAGTGTGGTGGATTTTTCAAACTAGCTAAGTAATTACTACATCTAAACCACCCTTCCAGCTCTAAATTTTTATTTTTTGTAGTATAAGTGCCTGATGGATTTTCCATGTAAAATTTGCTAGATGACATTTTTATATAATTCTGAAATATTTCATACATATTCGTAAGCAGAGATAGAACTTTTAATAAAGTTATTCCGTCAGATTTCTTTCAGCTTCTACTTATCTCCTCTCCTTATGCTTTTCAGGCAATCATTTGTTAGAAGAAAAATGTATGTTACGTAGACTTTGTCCACTTAATTAACGTGAAATCAAATCATAAAGCATCAGGGGGATAGTGGTAAAGTTCCAGAAAGGATAGTTTTCTGGTGATGACCTTATTCTTAGAAACTTCCATTATTAATATTCTATGGTGTAACTGATACGACCATTCAATTAGCATTATTTCTGATGCAAGTAGGGCGCCTGCCTATGAACTGGGATGTTTTAGAAGTCCTGCCTGTTAAAATATTACTGTTTTTTCTTTTCTCTCTCTCTCTGTCTCTCTCTCTCTTTATCCCTCCTTCCTTCCCTCCCTCCCTCCCTCCCTCCCTCCCTCCCTTCCTTAGCAGTTGCAGACTTGCAAAGGATGTTTCCCACCCCTCCTTCTTTGGAACAGCACCCTGCATTTTCTCCTGTGATGAATTATAAAGATGGAATCAGTTCAGAGACAGTGACAGCATTAGGCATGATGGAGAGCCCTATGGTCAGTATGGTTTCAACACAGCTCACTGAATTCAAAATGGAAGTAGAAGATGGATTAGGAAGTCCCAAGCCAGAGGAAGTAAAGGTAATTGCCAGTATATTAATCTTACCAGGGCAGGGCAGGGCAGGGCAGTTTTTAAGCAGATTCATATGCATCTTCAAGATAGTATTATCTATATGCCATACATACCTAAGTTCCTAAGAATCCTCACAGTGGATCGTGAGGTACATTGTTTTGTATATAAATTATAGTGTCTTGATCAACTTATAATTTTGGCATTAGCATGTTCTGCTGACGAAATGAGAGAAATGCTGAATTCCAGTGATTGTTGTTGCTGTTGTGGCGTCCTGAGTCGTTCACCGACATTATCACTGGCCCCCTCTTGTTGTCACAGGACTTTTCATACGTGCACAAAGTTCCAACTTTTCAACCTTTCGTGGGTTCCTCCATGTTTGCTCCACTGAAGATGTTGCCGAGCCAGTGCCTGCTACCTCTGAAGATACCTGATGCCTGTCTGTTTCGGCCTTCGTGGGCGGTGCCTCCTAAAATTGAACAGCTGCCCATGCCGCCTGCAGCCATTTTCAGTAGAGACGGTTACAAGTACGTGCCGGGATCTGCATCGAGCTACTGGCCATGTGAATGGGTTTTGAGCTTAACTAAATATTTATCTACAGTGATGACATCACATACCATTTAAAACTTTCCTTTCTTGGCCATTCGTGTTTTTGCGCACATTATTTTGTATCGAAAGTGTACATGTCTTCTGAACCAAATTTCACGTACACAGATAAATTGAGGTTATTTGTATAGAGAACCACGGTGTTCGTGCTCATTCCATATCAAATCACTGTCTACCACGAATCAAACACTAGACTGGAGCTTAGGATACATTACTTACTTAAAAACACTACCATTTTGGGGGTAGTATTGGTAAGTACTTGGTTTGTGACTTGATGACTCCAAGTGTGTTCACTGAAGGCACTTTAAAATGAAGTAATAACATGGAGACTTTCTCTGATGCTGACCCCACATCATAAGAAAGCAGCAACAGAGGTGGTAGGAGAAGAGGAAGGAAGAGGCTGGGTTTACGGTAGCTTGGGCACTTTCCACTCTGTCAAAAAACAGTACTTACATCAGCAACGCAGAGTCCGTTTCCCCTATGATTCATAATTTCTTAATAAAATACATGCTATAAAATAGAAGGCCACAAACTCAAATTTCTGTCAGGACCAGGCAAGCAATGTACGGACAACGTGGACTGGGGAAAGCAAACGACTTGACAGCACCAATGGTCAGTGTCCCCCAGCGGGATGGCAGGGACGGGCAGGGTCCGTGATGGACCCGCTGAGAGAAGGCCTCTTTGGAAGTGACTGTTTGCCGTGCGGCGACAGCACATAGTTCACACAAGGATGTGGGAGCCTGGAGATCTGCATGTTTATATACATTTCCTTTTTACAAACGTTGCTAATTAGTCCAGAGTTACGTTTTAGGAACCAGTAAGACAAGAAGACAAATTCCAGATCCAGTCTGTGGGCTCCATTTGTGACATCAGATGAAACCATCTTGATGAAACCAACGTTAGTGTCCCAAACGGGCTTTATGCTCACGTATGTGAAGTGAGTAGGGGATTGAAAAACCGCGACGCAGGTGTGGGATAAAAGAACCCAGACTTGGGAAGGTACCGCTGTGCTGACATAGGACTCCATTCCTGCTTCTCCCTTTTTTGTTTCCTCCTGTCTGTGACCTTAAATGACCATCTGATCGGAGTCTCCCCTTCTTTAAAATGGTATAATCCCGCCCTCCTTCCCACACAAGATTTTCGAAAGGCTCCAGCAACTAATGGTTGGGGAAGTATTGTGGCAGTGACGACTCACCAGCAGTGTGAAAGAGTGTGCTCGAAAGGCCCCTGGTGGTGACCCCTCTGGCTGGTCTCCTGCTGCCGTGCTCCGGCTGGACTCGGTCTTATTTAAACAGGGCCTGGTGCAGTACAGTGGGGCCCACTGGCCCGTACACGTTGCCATGCCCTTCTCGGCAGTGCAGCAGCTCCAGGGACCCGGTGGACAGTTTAATCTCCTACACACATAGGCTCCTCAAAAACGTGAAACGCAACCCGTTGCTGTATGGTCGGTTAAAAAATAAGTGATTTAGATCACTGCTTATTCTGTTCAGTCTGTCAGTAGCCATCCCAAAGATCCTTGGTATCCTTAGCTGGCACTGTTAGGAACTTCGTTCGATGAAGTGTCGGCACACCTTCCAGTATGGCCGCCCCTGCCCCGGTGTCGTAGCTGTATGCCTCTTGAAATGTGGCCAGTTGAGACCAAGACTGAACTTTTGGTTTTATCTAAGTTGACTTAAACTTTAGCACGTAGGGCTAGCGGCAGCCTTATTGGCCAGCAAAGTTCTAGACTGTGTGAATTCCTTCTGCTGGGGCCTCCCTCACCCTGGCCACCCCTTTGCCACACTCAGCACGCTGGTGCTTCCTTGCTTGACGCCTGTCTTACTGGCTGTGAGCTGACTTTTCTTCTGCCTTTTTACTGTTGAATACCTGGCATCTAGCATAGTGTTGGTCCTCAACTCATTTTTATCGAATGGGGAAAAATCAGGTTACTGTGCAAGCTAAACCATTCTTACTACCTAGGGAGCAATTCCATTATTTGGGTTTTCCGTTAGGAGCCATAGTTCCTTTTCTGATCTGAACTGCATAGTAATTCATAGGGTTTTGTCAAACAGGAAGATGTGAAAGGAGTCCAATTAGGGTAAAGATCTTTATTACGCACTTGTTATTTTGGTCTCTGAGATAGCAGTGATTGCCAATCAAGGTTTCTGGGTCATTTTTTATCTGTTCTCAGAGATACCACTGTGCCTCAGATTTACAGTTTCCTTATAGTGCTTGATGTAGATTTTTTTAGGCTGGTAGTTGAGGCATAGCTAATTAAAAATCACAAGAATTTATTTGAAGAGCCATTGCTTTGTGACATTCTTCTTTCAAATTGTAAGTGAATGAATATGTAGTTTATTGGAAGAACATTAGTTTAAGCTCAGTATTAATAGATTTCAAAAGAATAATAAGTATCAAATGAAATCTGTGTTCTTTTGATACCTTCTAATTGGACAGAATGGTCTCGTGCTGTTTTACATGTACATCTAAGAGCGTATATCAGAAAACTTTTTTGCAATAAAAAAACAGCAGAACATTGCAGGCACTGTTTTGTGCTCTATGTGGCTATTCCAAGAAGAAGTCATTGCTTATGGAGAAACAGGTAACAGTGCTGTCAGTCTCTGGGAACTGAAACAAATTGTGCTACCAGTAACGCATAGCATATTGAAAAATTAAAAATGAACTAAAATTGCCTGCCACTCCACAGGAATCTAGAAGTGTGGAAGCTGCAAAATAGGATGTGTGCTTGTAACTCATCTGATGAGTACTAAGGCCTCCTAGCTACACACGTGATACTTGTATTAATTGTAGTGTAGCACTGGCCAGTGCCTTTCCTACAACTGGATTCCCTCATGGTGACTCATTATTATAAAAACACAGGCCTAGAAAGGCCTGTATTTTGAAAATAGAAGAATAGTACATTTTCATGTGTGTCTGACTTAGAATCACACATGGATCATCGCCTTAGAGAGCAAGTACGGTGGCAGACTTTCGATTTCAATAAATGACAAAAATGTAATTGCCAGTTAGATCCAGATTTTATCCTATGGCCTTCTAGCTGATTTAGCATCTGAACTCATGTGTTACAGTTTCACGTAGTAGTTACGGTTTTTCAAAACTACCTTGACCAGACTCAGCACCACGTTTTCTTCTAAAATCAGTGAAGTTCCTTTGAAAGAATAACCTGAAGATTGCGCAGATGTGGAATAAGCAGAAGGAAGATGCTGTGGTGTATTGCTCTTCATGCCTTGTTGCTTGCTTTCCCATCCACTTCACTGGCTTTTTTGAGTGCTTTTATTTTTTTTTTAAGAAACACTGGAATATACCCAGGGATGGCATGCGTGAAGGCTGCGGTGTGCGGGCGGGCGGGCAGGCGGGGTGACCGTGAGAAGCCTGGCAGTCTGTGACGAGGGCGCGTTCTCACTCGGCATTCTCTGTTGCAGCAACGTGCCTAGTGTCGGGAGCCTAGCAGACCCAGACTACCTGAATACGCCCCAGATGAACACGCCGGTGACGTTGAACAGCGCTGCCCCAGCCAGCAACAGCGGGGCAGGAGTTTTGCCATCTCCAGCAACCCCTCGCTTCTCTGTCCCCACACCACGAACCCCCAGGACCCCAAGAACTCCCAGAGGAGGGGGCACTGCCAGTGGTCAAGGGTCAGTTAAATACGACAGCACCGATCAGGGCTCACCTGCCTCTACTCCCTCTACCACGCGGCCCCTTAACTCTGTGGAGCCTGCCACCATGCAGCCGATTCCCGAAGCCCACAGTCTCTACGTCACCCTGATCCTCTCAGATTCCGTGATGAATATTTTTAAAGACAGAAACTTTGACAGCTGTTGCATCTGTGCCTGCAACATGAACATCAAAGGGGCAGATGTTGGGCTTTACATCCCCGATTCTTCCAACGAGGACCAGTATCGCTGTACCTGTGGGTTTAGTGCGATTATGAATCGCAAACTTGGCTACAATTCGGGACTCTTCCTGGAAGATGAGTTGGATATCTTTGGGAAGAACTCTGATATTGGTCAGGCCGCGGAGAGGCGCTTAATGATGTGTCAGACTACCTTCCTTCCTCAGGTGGAGGGAGCCAGAAAGTCCCAGGAGCCACCTATAAGCCTCCTCCTCCTCCTCCAGAATCAGCATACACAACCTTTTGCTTCACTGAGTTTCTTGGACTACATTTCCTCCAACAGTCGCCAGACTCTTCCCTGTGTGAGCTGGAGTTACGACCGGGTGCAGGCAGATAATAATGATTATTGGACGGAATGCTTTAATGCCTTGGAGCAGGGCCGACAGTATGTGGACAATCCCACGGGTGGAAAAGTAGACGAAGCGCTGGTGAGAAGTGCCACTGTGCACTCTTGGCCTCACAGCAATGGTAGGTTTTCCAGAATGCACACTTACTTTGCAGATTTTCTTCGTATGGTGGTAAATTATAAGCTTTCTTTGTTATAGGACAAATCTCAAATTTCACTTCTTCAGAAGAACTAAAGTGAGAGCCCTGTTGATAATTATCCTAAATTTAAGGACTGGAGAAATGTTTCATATGGAAACACCTTTTGAGCAGAGGAATTATTTTTTGAAAACTTCCTATCGTGTTAATTCCTATGGGCCATTGGTACTGGAAACCAGTGGCTGCTAAGTGTCAGAGTTGTCGAGACTATACGGGATGCTAGTTTGTACACCCTTTCATGTTTACATCCACCCATTCCTCTAGACCGGTTTTCCATGGTCCTTCCTCCATGAAGCCTTCTGCCCATTTACAGAGCACTTTTTCCTTCCTCTGGTTTTCCAGTGCTTTGTATCTTACAACAGTGATCACGGTTTACTTTGCGTTGTGGTTCCCGAGGCATGTCACTGGCTCTTCTGTTGTTAAAAGCTCCAGTTGACAAATATCTGTGACGATGAGCTCGAAGTGGGCCACGGAACTTGCCATTCTCTTCCTTTATTCATTCGCTATTCCGTGATGCATCCTGGGGGATAAAATGACCGAAAGAGACAAGGTACCTCTCGGAGGGACTTTCTGATCTGTTCTGGAAGATGTACATTAATCAAATAATTACACGAATTAGCATATTATTAGAAACCATTATAAGCGATGAAAGCATGGGATAAGGAGAGCATCCCTAGACTGGGGTCAGGGAAGACCTCCTTGAAGAAGTACTAATGTTAGAGATCTCAGTACTGATTAATTGGATAAAGAGAGTGGAGAGCAAGGAATTGTGTCCCAGGTAGAAAGAGCAAGAGTGAAGGCCCAGAATTATGTAGAGCTTGGGGCTTTCAGAAAACTGAAGCCAGCTTCCAGTTGGCTAGATTTACAAGAACCTTTTGAGACCTGCTGGGGCTGGGGGCTTTATTCCAAGAGCCCTAACAGGTCATTGATGGGTTTATGAAGAGGCATTGCCATCAGATTTGTGCAGTTAAGAAACAGATACTCTCAGGGGTGCCTGGGTGGCTCAGTTGGTTAAGCACCTGACTTTGGCTCAGGTCACGATCTCATGGTTCACGAGTTCGAGCCCTGCATTGGGCTCTGTGCTGACAGCCTGGAGCCTGCTTCAGATTCTGTTTCCGTCTCTCTCTGCCCTTCCCCTGCTCCCGTGTTCCCTCTCCCTCTCCCTCCCTCCCTCCCTCCCTCCCTCTCTCTCTCTCTCTCTCTCTCTCTCAAAAATAATAATAATTAATTTTAAAATAAAACAGAGAAACAAATACTCTGACTTCGGCGCAGGCTGTGGATTTGGAAATGATAGGAACGGTGGAGAGACTACAGGTTTAATGTAGTGGCTCAAATAAATAATGGCTTGGTTTCGTGTCTTAGCAAAGGAGATGGAAGAGAAGTGGAAGCATTCAAAAGACGTTGAGGAAGTGGTAGGACTGCAGGATTTGGTAGTGGGTTGGATTTCGGGGCTTGGGGAGAACGGGATGTTAAGGAAGACACCCGGATTTGTGATGCATATACCTGGACCCACAGTGACCTTGTTCAAAGCTAGGTGTACTGGAGGAAGAGCCTGTCTGGGGAGAAAGCCCCTAAATTGAGTTTTGGTGATTTTAAAGATCCCTTCTGAGATACCCAGCTAGAGGTTTCAAGTAGACACTTGGGATTTGACAGGCCTGCAGCTCAGGGGGAAGGGAGTGGTTGGCTTGTAGATCGGATCTCAAGTCAGGAGCACTGAGGAGGAGGGAAGCTCACTGAGGAGGCGGACAGAATGAGAACCGCAGAGGGCTTGGGACAGAGCTTTACTGAATTCTTTGGTGTAACTGAGTTCAAGAAAGAGTAGAGTGGTCAATAAGCATTAAAGCACAGCTGAGCCTTTAGGTGAGGATTAAACCTGTCTTTTGACCACGGTGAGGGCTGCTCTGGAAGAGGTGGGAGCGGCCAGGCCCGAGAGGTCGGTTACGTGAACGGAACATGGACCCTGTCCCGTGCAGCTCTGAGCCCTGGAGGAGAGAAGGCTGTATAATCTTCTTAAATACAGTTTGAAATCTGGAAAAGAACTATGGCTCGAGGATAGAGCTCAGCGGAGTAGGGGTGATAGGCATTTTCGGAGTAGCCAAGCAAGGAGGCTTCTTGGTAGGCGGAGACTCCTAAGGAAGTATTCAAGGGTGACACTCACTCTGTAACTGCTCAGGTTTGAGCACAGTGCCTTACACTCAGCAGGCCTTTAATTAATGTCTGTGGGATGAATTTATGAATTAAAGAAAGTACAGTCTTTCCCCTACAGAAATGTGGGTGATTATCTTGGGTGGTTCCTTTTACTAGACAGTAGCCTTCAGACAGAAAAGCATTCTGTGGGTGGATCAGTACTGTCATCTTTGGATATGAAAAATAGCAGATTTTGTTGCAGGGGAGGTGTGGGCTTCAAAGTCAGAAGCTGGAAAGTACCCGACAGCTGATGGAAGTGAACGGTGCGGGAGCCGGGTCTGCAGACAGCAGCGCCCTCGATTGTCTCGCACGGCACACTTTCTGTTCCGTGTGCACAGGAATAGCCCCATGGAAGTGCGTCTGCTTTTATTTTTCCCTAACGTGTGGTTCTCTTAGTCTGTCATTTTCCAACTTTTGATAGAGCCGTGGGTACAAGAAGTACTTTTTTCTTTACTATAAGGAGAAAAGGCAGCACAGGCTCGAAGATGAAGGCAATGGCCATCGCTCCGTTGTCAGGCAAGCAGCAGAGCCGAGTGAGGAGAGAGCGAGCAGAGCCGGGGGAAGGGGGCGGCTGTCCGACCGCTCCGACAGGGCTGTCTGTGCAGGAACGTGGCTCCGAGCCCACACTCGCCGGGCCTCCCGGCTCTTGGGGGAGGTGTTGGAAATTTAGCTTTGCCACTTGTGTTTGATTTAGGAGATACACCTCAAAATGTCTTAAGCACCCTGTGTTTCAGATTTAGTGGGTAGGTAAATCTTAGGTTTCCAACCGTGTCCCTTTCCTAGTCAGCTAGAAAAGGAAGGGTGAGGGAAGGTCTTTAGGTATGCAGCCGTGTGGGTTCATAGCTGGTCACCTCTCAAACTTGATGAGCTCTTTCATCGGATCTTTCTGAGAATTTGATGAGCGTGATGGACCTTCCTCCCTGGGAAAGAGTACACATTTGTACGTGCGTGCAGGGTTTTGCATAGAGTTTGAGAGGTTTCTCAGATTCCCTGTGAAGAGCCCCTCCTCCTAGTAGGAAGAATGTTTGTTCTGAAGCCCTGAGTCCCACCCTCCTCTGGGTGGATGGCCTCTCGTCCCGGCATTGCCTTCGCCATGGTGCCCTGTGCCTCTGCCTGCATGCAAGGTCGCCGTTCTCTTTCGTGCACTCAGTGTTTTGTGAAAATATTTTACAGCAGGAGCGTTTTTAACAGTTTTTTAAAAGCTTCTGTGTAGGTTTTTTTCCCCCCACTTAACACATCCAGAACATTGGTGTTTGTAAATAAAAGTAATACGATAATTAAGAAACTTTTACAGGGTTTCTTATGTAACCTTGGAAACAGGTTCATACGATTTGAAAGAGCAGTTCTATCCATCTTTTCACTTCAGAGCAGTTCTACAGTTAACCTCTTGAATATAGAGTGACGTACTTCTCCTTTTATTATTTCCAATAATAAATTATAAATTACTTTATAATAATAAAATACCTTTACTGTTGCCAGGTAAGTCTAGCATTTTAGAATCTAGTAAAAATAGAACGTGCCACCAGCGTTATCTTTGTCATGGGCCGTAACTCCAGTCCAGAATTAGGGCAGGAAAGAGGACGGTGTCGATCCCCTCTTACGATTTCTGTTCCTTTCCGTGTCCCTTCTCTTCCAGTGCTGGACATCAGTATGCTCTCCTCCCAAGATGTGGTCCGTATGCTGTTGTCTCTGCAGCCCTTTCTCCAAGACGCCATCCAGAAGAAGCGCACGGGCAGGACCTGGGAGAATATCCAGCATGTGCAGGGACCGCTAACCTGGCAGCAGTTCCACAAGATGGCAGGACGGGGGACCTACGGTAGAACCTCTTCCCTGTTTCAGTTCCTTCATAGGTTGTTGCCGTAGGAACCAGCTTTAGTCACTGCCAAGTCCTCACCTCACTGACAAAATAGCATCTTTTTTTTCCACGACTGTTAAGCTTTATAATCTCTTTTCTTTCCTAAAGTCAGTTTGGAGTTACGTTTTCTTAGCATCCTTGGCAGAAACAAGGTCAATGAGGAAAATGATCCTTAAGTAGAGTATCCATTAGATTTTCCTCATCTTCCTGATCTTCATTGTATTTTCATCTGGATGAACTTCTGAATTAGTTCTGTCAACTTCTTCAGAGCTGGGATTATCATGCTTAAAGGAAACGATGTAGTGCTGCTTGGAAAACTAACTTTAACTTGTTCTAGTCTGCCCTCTGATCTTCTCGAACCTCTGTAAGCATGTTCTGACTCATTTAAGTTAGGTCCTTCATCAGGAGCCATATAATTAGAGGATTTGAAGAGCACTGTTGAGAGTTACGCTGCGAACCTGCGAGGAAACTTCTGATGCCAGAACTAATACTAACGCAGCGGGGACCTTCTAAGGTGTCCCGGTTGTGGGAAGCACCCTCCTGAACTGCACTGTCGTTACAGGTTCCGAAGAATCTCCTGAGCCTTTGCCCATCCCCACCCTGCTGGTAGGCTATGACAAGGACTTCCTCACCATCTCGCCGTTCTCCTTGCCATTTTGGGAGAGGCTGCTGTTGGACCCATATGGGGGCCACCGGGATGTTGCCTATATTGTGGTGTGTCCAGAAAACGAGGCCTTGCTCGAAGGAGCCAAAACTTTCTTCAGGGACTTGAGCGCTGTATATGAGGTGAGAACAACCCGAAAATCGCTTTTGGGACATGAGTCCTCAGATTGTTTCTAGCTGTGGCTGAGTTTTAAAGAGCAAGTATCTTCAAAGGAGATCTCAAAGGAAATTTGCAGATAGTTGGAGGATGGAGGAGAGAATTAAGTTGGCAAGTTTTCCCGGAAGTCAATTGCTTTTCCCATCTGTGCTTTACATTTTGTTAGATTTAGAAGACTTTGCTCTACTGGCCTTACCACACCATGTACGATTCTGTCAGCTGTTTTTTCCTGATTTATGTGCTTGAGTTTAAGAGTGTTGCTTACCAGGGGCGGGTGTTCTGGCTGTTCAGAAGATGGCCTTTACAAAAAGAAAGCACATCTCTTTGTGGGCAGGGCTGGGGGGGGTGGGGGGTGTTCCTGAAAACAGTATGAAAATGTTTAGCTTGAAGATTTCTGTGTCAAAAGACGAGTTTAATGAATCATGTCCCTGTTGTGTGTTATGTATTTAAACACTACGTTCATCTTAATACTAAAATTTTGATACAGGTTAATAATAACCATAATAATTTAAAAGCCAGGTAGATAATTTTGTATATTTATTACATGAAATACTATTGCTTTTGAAAAATTAGGATCATGTGTATCTTGAAGAGTAAGTTCCACGTTTTTTCAGCCAGAGTATACGTACACTAAATTCTTTGTATCTTATACTTCTAATATCTTTTTTTTTGGCAAGATTAAATGAAATTAGTATTTTTGAAGAGCTGTGACAGGCATAGTATAAACATTACAAGGGTGTTTGTTAAATATGATGCCAAGTTGAATTTCAAAAATATGTCATAACAGAACATTCGCTATTTAGAAATGGATGGGTGCACATGAAATAGTGAGCTTATGTCTTGCTACAAAGAAGTGAGGAGAGGGTAATGTCTGAGGTGATGGCATCAGTTAAGCCCCTGGAGGAAACCCTCAGATCTAGTAATTTCTACACAGTGCCTGGTCCGTGGATGTGTAATAATATTAAATCATAAGGACCGTAACACAGAAAACTTGTGTAAGCAATTTTTGTTTAAAGCACGGCCCTTCTCTTGAACGAAGCCTTCAACAGAAGTTACAAAACATAAAAGGATCGAGGGATCTTTTTAGATCCTAATGACTTTATTAGGACTGCTCGTTTGGTCATAGTGTGTCCCTGGTTATGAGGGTGTATGCCAGAGGGTTTTGTAGGGCCTGAGTTAGGCCTTCAGTTATCAGCTGTAATAAGGGATGATATGGGCTCTCCTGTTGTTGAATAGATAGTTAAGTAGCTTACTTTTCGCAGGTGTGTTGTATTAATTCTTGGCTGCAAGTGTCCATTTAATGTGCCAGAGATTAACAACAGAATCTCATTGTGCTTAAAACAACTATTTACTTTTAAAAAGTGATCAGCATATCCCCTGCTTCAGTGGCCTCTGCTCTTGGTGATCTCCAAATGTCTGTAACAGTGTAACAGATGGCCCATAAAATTTTAATGTTATCTTATGGGAAAACATTATGAGTCGGGATTACTTAAGAGGTTTTAGCGGACATATGTCCCAGTCAGCCTTAGTAGGCAGGAATCTGGTTAATTCTTTATTTGACCATTAGCAATCAGGTAGTACTCAGCGACCTTCCCTTGTGCGGGAGGAACTGGCTGGGTGAAGAAACATTTATTTTTCTTGAGAGGGGCCCAGTCCAGGTTTTGGAGAGGCAGATAGGAGTTTCAGCACACATTCTAACGAGCAAAAAGGACCAGCTCAGAACGTGGGTTTGGGTGCTTGTGTTAATGCGAAAAGAAAACACGAGGTACTTCCGCGTGCGTGGTAGAGAATGTCATTGTCCGCCCCCCCAGCACAGGCGTGGTTCCTGTTGTAAGTAACGGTCTTGTTTGTGGTGTAGATGTGTCGGCTTGGGCAGCACAAGCCCATCTGCAAAGTGCTACGAGATGGGATCATGCGCGTGGGAAAGACTGTGGCACAGAAGCTGACGGATGAGCTTGTGAGCGAGTGGTTTAACCAGCCGTGGAGCAGCGAGGAGAATGACAATCATTCCAGACTCAAACTTTATGCGCAAGTTTGCCGCCATCACCTAGGTAAATGGGAATTTGTTTGGCAAAGTAGAATCTGAGAAGTAAAATAGCAGATTGCCACCCTTTGGGAAGCAGCATTCTGCTGCTTTTATCTCAGGTAATGTTGGTGTTCCATTACCGTATTTGTTTAGGTCTAATTTCTGCGTTCTGGGTCGTTAAATGCTCATTTTTACGTGCACAACATTCTTTAAAAGCAATTTAAAGTTGCCTAAAGAAGTCATATCTAATTTACTCCACATGTTGAAAACTTAGCGGCAGGACTTGGTATTAACTGCTTAAGTTAAACCCGCACTCCCAAGAGAGTCTTGGAAGCTTCTAAAGCACACTGTGCATAGGAGCGTGGTATACGCCGTGATGGCTCCGGAAGAGACCCCGGCCTCGCGGCTTGCGGTGAAGGCAGACAGATTCAGTCCGAAAGGTTAATTTTCTCTTTGTTTTCAAATAAGCCTCTTCACCAGAACTGTCACACGTAGCCCCGTGTTCAGCTCCACATTTGCAGAGTATATAAGCCTATGCTCCAGCGTGGAGATAGCATCTTGGGTGTCATAGTCAGAGCATCACAGCCTGAAAACGTAATTTTCTGTAACCGTGACCGTTCTACTTGCTGATTGGGTCTGACACCGCGGAGTGTCGCTGACGTCCCCTCTCTGCGTGTACTCTTTCAGCACCTTATCTAGCCACTCTGCAGCTCGATGGCAGCCTGCTGATACCACCTAAGTACCAGTCCCCACCAGCAGCAGCACAGGGACAAGCCACCCCCGGGAACGCTGGGCCTCTAGCTTCAAATTCAGGATCGGCAGCACCCTCAGCCGGCAGTGCGTTCAACCCCACCTCCAGCAGCAGTTCCGGGAACCCCGCGGCAGGCAGCTCGGCCTCTGGGTCCTCTGTGCCGCCGGTCTCCGCCTCCGCCCCCGCCCCCGCCCCCGTTGTTAACCAGATCAGCACTACCTCTTCTTCAGGATTCAGTGCTAGCGTCGGAGGGCAGAACCCCAGCAGCGGGGCCGGTTCTGCAGACAGAACGCAAGGGAGCGCAGGCTGTGGCGGAGACCCGGAGCCCGGGCAGAGCTCCTCTCAGCCCTCACAGGATGGACAAGAAAGGTACGCTGCTCGCCGGTGGATGGTGTGTGGCTTCGGCTTGGGCCCCGTCCCTGCTCTTCTGCACCCCACGCCCCTCCTCACCTCCTGCATCTGTAAGCCTCGTGAAGCGCCCTATTTCCCTCCTTCCCAAAGGGAACTTATGACTGTCAGTCTGTGGCTCCAGTGTTAAGAAATCCAAGACTCCGTGTGAACTTACTGTTGTTAAGCTTATTAGCTTCATAGGAAGCTGGTACTGTTAATACTATTATTATATGAACATAATATAGTATTAGTAAGCTGTTACCACTCACATTAATAGTAGTATAAAACATCTTTTTAGAATGTGGCCCCAAGGAAAAGAAGGAGTCGAAAAAGAGATCTCCCACTTAAAGGAGTCGTATATTGTCATTTCCCGTCTCCCTTGGTGCTAACGGGCTTGGTTTGCCTTCATTTGGATAATATGAAACATATCAATGCTACATTCGATCTGTAATCATTGTCCAGGGGGTCAGTGTCCTCGGGAATTGATGTATTTTGTGTAATTTATATTTATTTGTGCATCTCATAAGTGACTCTCTCCGCAGTGTCACAGAAAGGGAAAGAATAGGAATTCCCACTGAACCCGACTCTGCAGACAGCCAAGCCTATCCTCCAGCTGTGGTCATTTACATGGTGGACCCCTTCACCTACACTGCAGACGAAGACTCCACTTCCGGAAACTTTTGGCTGTTGAGTTTGATGCGCTGCTACACGGAGATGCTGGATAATTTACCCGAACATATGAGAAATTCTTTCATTCTCCAGGTAACTGCCTGCAACTTTATTTTTAGCTTTTGTTGTTGTTTTTATGAAAGTAAATACAGGTCTGTGATTTCTTTTTCATTGGAAGTACATAAAGCTGTAAAGGAAATGATGTTCATAATTCTACCTTTAGATTAAGCCACCATCACCATTTTGGTGTATTTTTAGCCTTTTTTTGTGTATGTCAATTTATAGAATTGAGATCATACTTTTAGTATTATTTTTAGTCCTTTTATACTTAACATTATTCCTGAATACTTTTCTATGTTACTGAAAATTCTCCCAAGTAGCGTTTGTAATGACTGCATATTCTCCATATTTAATTATTACCATACAGTTAGATATTTAATTTGTTTCTATCTTTCACATTATAAACAAAGCTATAACAAACATCTTTCTGTGTAATCTCTTTTTCACAGTTTGGGTCATTTCTTAAAGTGGATTCTTAGACCTATAGATTCCTGTAAATAATGCCAGATTCCTTTCCAAGAAAGTTACACTTACTTACATTCCCTTTAGCACTGAGTGAGCATGCCTCTTTCACTACAGCCTTGCCAGTTGTATAGTGCAATAATTGTATAGGATTTTGATAATAGGTGAAAAATGATGCCTTGGGTATTTGGGTTTTGTTTTACTGTCACTTTCACTAAAGCCATCTTAACAGAATTAAAATATCGAAATTAGTTACCAGAACAGATTGATTGTTTTTCATTGTTGTGAAGTTTGTGTCTCTGATGCTTAGATAATAATCCCGAAGATACGATGCACACTATGTGTGTATATGAGAAAAAGGAGAGCTACATTAAAAAGCAAATTGTAAAAGTTTGGAGCATGACAACAATAGAGAATTTATCCCTCGAAGGAACAGTGTAATTTCTAAGTGACTGTAACTTGACCGACAAGATGGCACCCTCTTCTTCAATTGTTGGTGTACCTTTGTACTCGAGGATTTTATGCCATCTAAGGAATTAAGATTGAGTTATATTATGTTTGGCATTTATATATTTTATTTTACTTAATTGATTTTTTAAAGTTTATTTATTTGTTTTGAGAGAGACCAAGCACGAGCAGGTGAGGGACAGAGAGAGCGCGAATCCTAGGCAGGCTCCGTGCAGTCAGCTCAGAGCCCCACGTGGGTCTCGAACCCACAACACCGTGAGATCATGACCTGAGCTGAGATCAAGAGTTGGACGCTTGACCAACTGAGTGATCCAGATGCCCCTCTTGTATCTTGTTTTTAAGATTTTGTTTTTCAGTTATCTCTACACCCAGTGGGTCCCAAACTCACAACCCTGAGATCAAGAGTCGCAGCTCCACCAACTGAGCTACCCAGGCGCCCCTTATGTATTTCAAAACTACAGTTCTCTGCCCCCATTCGGCAAAGAATTCATGCCGTCTTGTCTGTCCTCCAGCTTTCCTGTTGGCGCATTCGACCCCAGTTTCTGGTTTTGTTTGTGTTTGTGTAGATCGTGCCTTGCCAGTACATGCTGCAGACAATGAAGGACGAACAAGTTTTCTACATTCAGTACTTGAAGTCCATGGCATTTTCGGTGTACTGCCAGTGCCGGCGCCCTCTGCCCACACAGATCCACATTAAGTCCCTCACGGGATTTGGGCCTGCCGCCAGCATCGAGATGACCCTCAAGAACCCAGAGGTAGGTAGTAGCACAGCAGAAGCTTCGGAAAGAGCACTCTGACGCAGGAGGTGCAAACCTGGCCGGTTGGTTGCCTGGTTGGCCTTCTGCCTTTATGAAGAGTGGTAGGTTTCTTTGATTCCTAATTTGAAACAGAGGAGATACTTCTCTCCACTTGTGAAATTTGGGGGATAAGAGGCCGGTGAACTCTCGGTGTTTTTTTGATGTAGGTCCTGAGGCAGCAACACACTTACCACTTTTACTTAGCGATGCTCGACTTTTCCTATGTTTATTTTGTTCTTTATTTTTTGGAAGCTAATCTGTGTGTTAAATCACTAAGTCTCTCCCTTCCCTGGCTCTTCGCTCCCCTCCTACCACAGTTGTTTGCGTGTGCGATCACCCTGCAGGGATCCCTCGTTTTCTGCTGCATGTTTTTACAGGAGCTTGCTCTCCCCTCCCTGGTCGCAGTGCTTTTTCTCTCCATCTTCTTACACCCGCTTCCCACAGATAGGCGCCTCTAGGGGGATTTGAAAGCACCAGACAGAAGTTGTACACTTCTTTTTATTTCACTAATCACTTTATCCTGAAGATGGACGAACAGGGCGATGCTAGAATTATCAGAGCCTTCAAAAATCAGTTCCCGCAACTTTTATTGCGTGAAAGATCACCCGTTAATAAAAGCCAGCAAATACCTCTTCACCAGAAAAAAACTCAAAAACACCAAAAACTGCTGATTTTAGTTGGTGATGAAAATTTTTCTGAAAAAACTCACTTGGATAAGTAAGAGGTTAGGGAAAAAAATGAGGCCTTTATAGTTAATAGCACACTTGTCCCTTGCTCCCATCAGAAGCAGCTGCTTAGCCGACAGCCACCTCCACTCTGTGGTTGTGTACAGTTTCTGTCTCTGGCTGTTTAGGTTGGTTTATTCTTTTGAGTTTTAATTTTTCCATTCTCATGAGCAGTTTATCTATTTTAGTTCACCCATTCGTGTTTTCTAGGATTAAAAAAAAAATGAACTTATTTCTACTTGTTTCTTCTTTTGTCTCCAGAAATCGAGGTATTGCCTTTCTTTATAAACTTAGAATCTAGCCTGCATTCTGTCTCTGCATAGTTGCCTGTTCTGGACATTGTATGTGAGCGGAACATAGTCTGTAACCTTTCATGTCTGATTCTTTCATTTAGCATGTTTTCTAGGTTCATCCATGTTACACCATGTGTATTTTATTTCTTTTTATGGTTAAATAATATTCCACTGTATGGATATACCACATTTTGGGTATTTATTCTTTGGTGTATGGACACTTGGGTTTTCCCACTTTTTAGCTATCGTGAATAACAACACTGCTGTGAACATTTGTGCGCAAGTGTCTGTGTTTACAATATTTTCCATTCTCTTGGTAAATACCTAGGAGTAGACTTTCCAGGTGTAGGGAGAATGAATGGATCAGTGATAAGATTAGCTTTGAAACTTTGAACAAATTATTGAATATCTCTAGGCCTGTGTTTTGGATCCCTAAAATGAAGGAATTGGATTAGATTCTGTCTCAGGTCTTTATTTTAGCTTTAAAATTCTGTAATTCCATTATTAACTATTTTTTATGATATATCTATATTTGTCTCTATTTTGGATGTATAGTTTAGGGGTCGGCAACTATGACTGTAGCTGCAATCAAGCCTGTAGCCTGTATTTGTATGACCTGGATAAGAATGATTATTACATTAAAAAAAAAAGAATGATTATTACATTAAAAAATGTTTATTTATTTATTTTGAAAGAGAGAGAGGTCATGAGAAAGGGGCAGAGAGAGGGAGAGAGAGAACCCCAAGCAGGCTTGATGCAGGGCTCAATCTCACGAACCATGAGATCATGACCGAGCCGAAATCAAGAGTCGGACACTTAACTGACTGAGCCATCCAGGAGCCCCAGAATGATTATTACATTTTTAAGAAGAGAAGAATACTCATAAGAAGAGAGACCCATAAAGCCTAAAATATTTACTATCTCTTCTTGTAGAAGTTTGCTGACTGCTACTCTAGTTTATTGTTGAAATGTGTATAATAACTATAAATAATGGTGACAACTAAATTTTGTCACAGTTTAACTGCATTGTTTGTCTTACTGGTAACAGCTAATGTTTTCATTTCTTAAATCACTCATACACACACACACACTCACACACAAGTATAATTTACACACTAAAAAGTACCTGAGCATAAGTATACTGCTTGATGAATTTTCACTAAATACAGCTTGTAACAAGCACAAGAAACAAAACATAAGAAGCCTGTTCCCTTCTAGTCATTCTACCAGTAATCAGTATTCACACTTAAAGCAGTAAAGTTTTGCCTGGTTTTGACTTTCATGTAAATTGCGGCACATAATTTATATATTTTTTGTGTCTGACTTCTTTTACTCAGTGTCGAGATTAATCTATGCTGTTGCTTGTAGTGGTAGTTTTTTCATTTCCTTACTGTTTGATATTCTGATTATATAACTATAACACAGTCTATCTTCCATTTTACTGTTGATGGGTATTTAGGTTATTTTTTATTTGGAGCTATTATGATTAATCCCTGTCCTTTGGTAAACATATATATCCATTTGATTGGGTCACAGGGTATGTGTGTTTGACTTTAGCAGATATTGTTAAACACTTTTCCAAAGTGATTCATCACCATCAGTGTATGAAAGTTCTAGTTGCCCCACACTCTCACCGATACTCAGTGTTTTCTTTTTTATTTGACTTTCTGGTGGGTATATAGTGATATCTCATTGTGGTTTTAATTTTTGCTGTCTTGATGACTAATGAAGTTGAGCTAATTTACTTACTAAAATAATAATTTGTTTTAATAAAGAAGCATTGGTCTGATTGGGGTTTCCTAGCTGATGTCACTTACACAATCTTTGTTTTCTGTTTTACCATTATTATTTATGTATATAATACTGCTGGGGGGGCAGTCTACCGTCATTACTCCCTATTGGTTTCAAGTGCTGTTCTGGGTTTTGTTGGAAATGTTGAGTTGAGTGGCATTATGTTGACACTGACTTTTATTTTGATTTCAGCGACCCAGTCCAATCCAGCTTTACTCCCCTCCTTTTATATTGGCCCCAATTAAAGATAAGCAGACGGAGCTGGGAGAAACTTTTGGGGAGGCGAGCCAGAAGTACAACGTGCTCTTTGTGGGCTACTGTCTGTCTCATGACCAGCGCTGGCTTTTGGCTTCCTGCACTGACCTCCATGGGGAATTATTAGAAACTTGTATTGTAAATATTGCTTTACCAAACAGGTGAGGAGCCTGCATGTTTATGCTACATATAAATCGATACTGTGCCTTTCCTCAGATATGAGTCTTTCTGATTTTCCTGTCTAAATGCACTAGGCGCTGTGCGATGGGTGGGTTCTTTGGAATTTTCTGAGTTTTGTCTTACTAAGCGATAACTTTGACTCATTTGGGGACCCCTTCCCCACTTCTTTCTTTTGTAGGTCACGGAGGAGTAAAGTATCTGCACGTAAAATTGGACTACAGAAGTTATGGGAGTGGTGCATAGGTATTGTCCAAATGACATCCCTACCCTGGAGAGTTGTAATCGGCAGACTTGGGCGGCTTGGCCATGGAGAGCTTAAAGGTGAGAGACTCCTAAAGCAGTCAGTACAGGAAACAACGGAAAAGGGTTGAACTAATGTCCCTAACTGAGCTGAGGGAGAAAATGGTAGAGTTGGTAGTAAGAAGAAAGCAGATTTATATTTCCTGATTCTTTTAAATGGACAGGATAAACCAGCAGTTTTTAAACTTTTCATTATCAACAAAACCATTTGCCAAAGAAATCTTAAATTTTGAACTCCAGTGTATAAGACAAAAAAGAATGTATTAATATAAAAGTGATAGTAAATTGAATTTCTAACATGTATTTTTGTACTGGGTCAGTGAGATCAAGTCAGTTTTAACATGAAAATTTAAAGAGAGATGGATGAGAGGAGAATCGATTTAGGTTTCTTTTATTATTTTTCATGATTGATGGTGATATAGTTTGTGTGTTTTTGTTTTGGTTGCACAAGAGCAAGACAATCCTGATTTACAAGGACAAGTAGGTGCAAGTTGGAATAGTCTTTTATTCACGTTGCCACTGTCTGATATTTTTCAGCCTGGAAGCTTAAGAGAGCAGACTTTTTTTAAGTTGCATGCCTAAATATACCTGCCAACTGCTAATATTTCCTGTCATAAATGTAACAGTCAGTCACAGAGCACTAAAAGTAACTAACGACACAACTGATCGGTGGCAGCAGCCTTGTCTGGCTTTGAGCCCAGCTCATTTGCTGTGCTGGTGTAGCTACTTTGCATGAGCAGTATGCATAGGCCTACCTTATTTTTTTAAAGCCTTATTAATTAATGACACATTTATAAGAAGTTCAATACATACATAGAGATGGGGGAAGTTTCCTTCTAAGGTCTCCACAAAAGCAAAGCACAGATTAGCTTGGTGGTTTTGTGCATGCAGGTGTATTAGAGCCAAGTCAGCAGACTTTCTAAGGAAAGGGCCAAGTAATAAATATTTTCAACTTTGCAGGCCAGCTTTTCACCGTTGCAGCTTCTCAGCTCTGCCGTTGTAAAGTCAGAGCAGCCATAGATAGATAATACCTAAGTGAACGGGTTTGGCTGTATTCCAATAAAACTTTATTTAGCAAAAAAAAAAAAAAAAAAAAAAAAAAAAAAAAAAAAAAGGCGGTAGGCAGGATTTGATCTGCAGACCATAGTTTGAGGACCCTTGCATTAGAATGCGTATATTGTTTCTTTGCATGAAATTTATATCAGGTATTTGTGGAGTCCCTGAAATAAAACCTCTCACGCGATTCAGCTTGGATTATAGCAAGTGCTCTAGTCAGTGAACTATCAGGATTTAATGGCAGTTTCTACGTGTATTAAATTACAGAAGTATTAGGTAACTGTTGGGAATCTAGTGTGTGCAAAATTTTTTTTACTAGTTATACTGTAGGCCAATAGAAAATATTACCCTTTTCATTTTTTAAAGAATAGCATACTTATAATGAATCTTCTATCAGTAGCCTGGAGGTCTGATGCATTGGGGGATTCATTTCATTTCTGTCAGAAGTCCTATCCTCTCTCCTGGTCGGCCTTGTAGTCAATCTTCTCTCTTAAAGGGTTTGAGCTACTCTTAACCCTTGGGAAAAGTCAGAATAGAATAGAAGAGGAGAAGAAGGGATAAAAACGTAGCCGTGTCTAGTCACTTGGTGACTGTCTTGGACAGCTACGAAGGCCATTGCCTTCCCTTGTATAATTTTTTAGAAGGGGCACTCTTCTGATGTTTTACGGGAAAGGGATAGAAGTGTGACTGATCCCATCAAAAGGTTGAGAGAAAATGTACTTTTGAGGGATAAAGACACCAAGAAGAGCCTAGTGTATAGGAAATCAGTTTACCAATCTGTATTTCATCCCTTTGGGGATGTAAGGCCCGCACCACATTGCATTTCTATGGGAGCCTGTAGATTTCAGTTAGCTTTGTGAATTTCTGTTTTTTATCACCAGTGTTTGTGATAAAATTCAGGTAATGCTTTTCCTTTCTTACTTGGTTTTAAATACAGAACTCACACCTGCTTGATTTTTCTATAATTTTCAAAAATACATTCTTCATGACTTGGCCACTTTTATTTTAGCCACTTCAGTTGGAGGTTTTTTAGGAATAAGAAACAAGAAAAAGTTGTTCCTTTCACCTCTTCACAGGGAGATCAGCTTCTTTGAAAAAACTGTGTGAAAGCAGAGAACCTGTGGTGGAGTAGTCTTTCGTTGGTGGGACACGATATGGGTGGCAGTGTGCTGCCACAGGAATGTGATGTGTGTTGGGGGTCAAAAGAGAGGTCTAAGTCCTTTCCCATTCCTGGAGTAACATAACCCTCTACAGTTCTCTGAGCACACATAGTACCTTTGGGTGAAGGCAGTAAACAAATACTAGAAAGAAAACTTAGGCCAGCGTTTTAATCTGAACAATTAGTGTCACATCATTTGGAGCGCTTCACTCACACCCATTGTTTATCGGCTCTTTGGGGCCTTCTACGAAGGGTTCCCCTTGTTTCTGCTCAGCTTGCCTTTCCCGGAAACAGTCAACAGACAGCAGTAAACAGAACTGAGGTTTGCCCCCCGTTGTGCATTCTTCTAATGAAAAGGGCTGATAGGGGCAGTGAAAGAACCAGACATGGAGTAAGAGGAGGAGGAGCTACGATGGAACAGACTGGCCTCATCCTCAAAGAACATTTGAAGCACCTAAATCTGTTTGGGTCTGTGCCGGACTCTCCCAGGTCATTTCAGACATGATTTCAGCATACAGAATAGGAGGCCTTTTGTGTCTTCGTTAATGACGTGTAAGGGAGGCCAAGTAACATTTTCTTTGTAACGAGGAGGGGAACCTGTGTAAAACCTTATTCCCTTTGGGGCCCAGTCCTGGAAATTCAATTACCAGGCAAATCCGGTAAAACGCTCAAACCTCCTATCACAATGAATTTCTAAAGACTGCGTGTGACTGTGATATTTGGTTTCAGATTGGAGTATCCTCCTTGGCGAATGTTCACTACAGACAATCAGCAAACGGCTCAAGGACGTGTGCCGGATGTGTGGGATCTCTGCCGCTGACTCTCCCTCTATCCTTAGTGCCTGCCTGGTTGCCATGGAGCCCCAGGGGTCCTTTGTAGTGATGCCAGGTAAATCTCCTCTTACCGTTTTCATTAATTAGGTTATCACATCAGTTCAGTCCATTCTGTCTTCAAGTCTACAGACAAGTGTAGAATAGATCTTTATTATCTTTGTGAGAAAAGATTGTATTTAGGGTTCAAAAATTTGGTCTCTTCTAAGGGGAGTGGTCTGTGGTTTTGTTATCTCTGTTGACCGTAGTTTGGAAGACAGCGTAAGTCCCGGATATGACTGAGAGCTCTTAGAGTCGTGGCCAGTTACTGTTGCCCGACCCTAATTTGTTGTTAGTGTGTGAGGATCACCCTCCAAAACCCACGAAGGTGAACACCAGCCTGATACGTGTTGGAGTGTGTGTTTGAAGACACATATTTGACGGAATCTGTAAGCAGCCTCCAGAGGATATTTGCAGTGTTTCTGATGTGGTTGCGGAGGAATGGTGAGGCAAATAGAGCTGGAAGAGTTGGCACAGTATGCGGCCCGTGGTAAGCTCTCAGCAAATGCGACTCCCAGTGTGTGGATAGCCAGAAGATTGTGGCCACAGAAGTTTTAAAAAATTAGCAACTAAGCAATTTGGTAATTTTTTAGCTAAGCAATTTTATACCTTTTTTTAGTCTGTTCTTATCCTCCAGTTCTCTCTGATCAGATGGGAGATTCCATCCCCATAAAAACCAGTAGTGTTATGTGAGATGATGTTATTTGTCATCAGTCCAGTGAGAGGCAGATGTCCTGTGTTGGCCTCATTAGGCCCCAGGTTACTTGTTGCTTGCACCGCTTGGGCAGATTTCACAACGTCTTTGTTCTGTGTCCTCACGATGAAATGGGGATAATAGTTCTACCTCAGGGTAGCTACGATGACTGAGTGAGATGACGTCCGCGAATAAGGAGTTTGGCACAGAATCTGGCACGTAGTAAGCATTCAATAAATGTTAGTTATAATAGTTATTCGCCGAATGGTACCGTGTCTACAGAATTGTGTTATTTAGGAGAACTTTATAAATTGTGAGCAACCACAGGAAAAGAGAAAATAGATCTATTTTAGAACTACTTAAATAAGTAGTTAAAACATAGTTGGTGGTGGGGCGCCTGGGTGGCTCAGTCAGTTGAGTGTCTATCTCTTGATTTCAGCTCAGGTTGTGATCCCAGGGTGGTAGGATCGAACCCCGTGTTGGGCTCGGTGTTGAGCGTGGAGCCTGCTTGGGATTCTCTGTCTCTGTCCCTGTGCCCCATTCACACACACATACTCTCTCCCCTTCTAAAATACAAAAGTAGAAATTTAAGAAAAAAAATTTTTGGTGGGCTCAGTCTGATTTTATTTTAACCTTTCCCATGTTCAGTGAGGCTTGGATTATTACAGCCCTGTGCTTAGAGTCTATTTCTTGGAAGCTGTTTTAACAGTGAGGTCGAACTTCAGATGTGTATCCATCCTGGCAGTTGTGTCAGACTCCTGTCTCTCCAGTTCAGGTTCTCCTGTAACTTCGTTTCTGGAGTTACTTACCGACGCACAGAAGGAATTGGTACACTTCGCTCTCTTTCTCTGTCTTTTTGAAAGACGCTGTCACAATGGGCTCTGTATTTGGCCGAAGCACCGCGCTGAACATGCAGTCGTCGCAGCTGAACACCCCTCAAGATGCCTCCTGCACACACATCCTGGTGTTCCCCACCTCGTCAACCATCCAGGTGGCCCCGGCAAACTATCCCAACGAAGACGGGTTCAGTCCCAACAACGGTGAGTGTGGAAGGCACAAAAGGAAAGAGCTCCAGCTCTCCCACAGGAGCAGAGCTAAAGGGTGCGCTCGGCGCCCTGCTGCATGTGTTGCAATAAGCAACGTAGAGAACGTGAAGAGGGTATTCGGGGTTGGGGCAGTCTGTCTGGCCTTGAAGATTTGTGTGCACTGTTACCGAGCCCAAATAAATATTTCCCTCTCTCGCATAATTAGGGTTCTGTTTATCACTAACGGCAAAAAAATACCCAGTTGTAGTGTCCTGCACATGGGTGCCACCCTTGCAGTAAATAGTTGGTGATCGGATTGGAGAAGGATGAAGACCACTAGGCATGAAGTAGCTCCTGTCTCTAGCGGTCGGGGGGAATCCATTATTTGATTATTTGATTTGATTATTCTTAATCAGTGTTTTTGGTTTGAAAATCTATTAAGGCATTTGTTAAGCAGCGGCTGCTTATAAACTGTAAAATGTGCAGTATTATGTAGCCATTTGCATTGGTTTTTGAAGAATTTTTAATACCTACCAACATTTACTCTTGTTAAATGGGGAGGGTAAAAGGATACCAAGTTTTATATACAGTCTGATCATAATGGAGTAACGATATGCGAATGAGAATTGTAGCAAAAATGTTCACGGTAATTGCATTTTGGGTGATAGTTTTCCCTTTTTATACTTCTCTTTCCAAATTTTCTGTTGTGCGTGTACCTTACTTTTATAATGTGGGAGAGGATTTCTTAGTGAAAACATCATGCTTTGATCTGCTTTTGGAATAGGTCTCCAATTTCAGGGCAAGTTCACACCTATTAACATGCATTAATTCAGCCTCTGGTATTTTAGATGCTAATTGGATGCATGGACAGAGTCTGCTGTTTTCTTGGATGGTGTCAATTTTAACTTTGTTTAATAATTAAATTGCTTCTTTAGCTGTTTTGCCATTTTTTTATGTGCCCTTGGAGGCTCTACAGAGCGTGGAGTTTTGTTTTATGTTCTTTATTTCTCCAGTCTGTTAATACTTCACATTAGAAGATCATTGAACAGAATATAAAATGAAAAAAACAATTTTCAGTACCTCCCATCCAGTAGACACACATTAAATCTTCCCACGTTGTTAACAGCATGCACTTGTAATGGTGATGGGCCAACAAAACAGTATGTTGTTGAAGTTGCGGATATAGATTATTTTTGAAATCTTTGTGCTTTTTCTCCCTCCTTTCTAGATGACATGTTTGTTGACCTTCCATTCCCAGATGATATGGATAATGACATTGGCATCTTAATGACTGGCAACCTCCATTCCTCTCCCAACTCCTCCCCAGTTCCTTCCCCAGGCTCTCCTTCTGGAATTGGTGTGGGCTCTCACTTCCAGCATAGTCGGGTAAGAATGATCTGAAGTAGGGCCTTCAGGGGCAGGATTCCTCCAGAAGTGTGATTGCCTGCCTCTTTGCTTTGTGCGCCTTTCTTCCTGATGGTCTTGGCCCCTGGTGTGAGCGAAATCAGTGTGGAAAAGTGACTCTGTAGTTGTTCTGTTTTGAATGATGGCAGGAATTTGAAAGAAACGCGTTCTTATTCCCAAAAATGTTCCTGATGAATATGTTTTATCAGCAGGAAGGCATTTTGCAATGACTGTTTTCTTAGCAAAAATTAGTTTTGGTCGATTGTTTGCTGCTTCCCAGTTATTTCTTATTTTTTGCCAAAATAGTGGCTTTTCAGAGGCTAGTTCAATGGCCCTGCTTTTTTAACACGTAAAGTAACTGTGTTAATTGAAGGACACATTGTTGATGGTTGATTATCCTGAAATGAGCCTTACTGTTCTTGTTTTACATCCTGGTGCCTTTGTTTATACAGTTCCAGTCTTTTCTGGAGCTAGCTGCCAAAATGGCAAGGGCCCACAGGTTGATTTTGGAGAAGTGTCCAGGTTAATGCCCTAGGATTAAGACAAAACACCAGAGCTTACAACCAGTTTCACCTTTAAATATCCCAGGGATATTGGAGGTGGATTAACAGAGGATTGAAGAGTTAAAGGTTCTGCTATAGCTTGTGTTAACTTTGTTTAAAAGCTAGATGATTCATGGGGCACCTGGGTGGCTCAGTCAAGCGTCCCACTTCAGCTCAGGTCATGATCTCACTGCTCATGGGTCCGAGACCCATGTTGGGCTCTGTGCTGACAGCTCAGAGCCTGGAGCCTGCTTCCGATTGTGTGTCTCCTTCTCTCTCTGCGCCTCTCCCACTCACACTCTGTTTCTTCCTCTCAAAAATAAATAAACATTAAAAAAAAAAAAGGTAGATGGTTCATGCCTTATTACTCTTTTGTACCTTCTGTTTAAAATATGAGATTGAGGGTTTAAGGCATAGAAAAATGGCTATGTCTAATATCTTAAAGTGGGCAGGAATAACCAACTCTGCTCACACTCATTTAGACACAGAGTTGTAGTTAGAGGACTTAGGTTTCTGTCTGTGGAACTTTATTGCCAGCCTGGAGTTCACTGAAGGACAATCAAGAGAAAAGATTTAAAACGTTAGTCAAAGAGCAGATAAAACCAGGGAAGAGCAACTCAGTAAACTATCCTCATGGAGCTACCTCTCTCCCATTTTTCCTTTCTAGAAGGAAGGGATTTTAAATGTGTTTATTTCCTCCATAGTCATTTGCCAGTTAATGACAGTTTATTGGTTCTTTGGAGATTGGTGTGATAGGAACCAGGTCCACAGATTTTACATTAAGTAGTTGTAACTTAGGATTAATGTGAATTCTAGAGGCAAATAGCAACTAAGAGTGCATGCCTTAGAGTTTGGTAAATGGAGCTCAGAGTTCCAGCTGTATGGCTTCTAGCTTTGTGGCATTGAACAAACTCGCTTGACCTGTCTTAGCCTTAGTTACCTTATCTGTGAAATGGAAATAATAGCAACTCCCTTTCTGTAGTGGTGGTTGTAATTTGGTTTATCCATTAACAAAGAATTGGTAATTGAAGTGTAAGGTTAGTTTTGTAAGAAGCAGAGGTTTGCTGTATTTTCTGCCTCTGTTGGAGCCTCAAGCCCTAAGTCTGTAATGTAGTGTCAGAGTTTAAACCGCACTGTTTTCTGAAGCTAGTCAGGCGGCCTTTTCTCGGTCCTCAGCACCTGCAGCCCGCTGACCCCCCCCCGAGAGGCTTTCAGTATTTCCTCTTTCTGAACCATTAAACATTCTTTGATATCCAATTAAGACATTACAACAGGGAAAAGAATTTGTTCAAGGCTGGGGTAAGTTTTTATTTTTTAACCAAAAATACAACTTGATATAATAGTTGGGGATGATTTTTTTCCCCTGAAAACAGAAGGCCTTTGAAAACAAACGATTACTTATTATTGCTTGCATAATAATAATTGCATAATTGCTTTCAACCCTTGAAGCCAGCTAAAAGAATCAAAGATGAGGAAATGCCAGTTGCAGAAATGCACAGTCAGGCTCTTGCAGGAGTCTTGTATTTAAGGAGATGGCGGAGAGTGAAAACAAGGCCTCTTCACAGGCAGATCTCCCCCTGCTGGGAGGTCAGAGACACTGGCGCCACCCAAAGAGCCGTGAAGTGTCCTGTTTTCCCAATGTCCGTGTTGTTGACAGTAGACGGTCAGGTGCGCTTGTGTATTTTAGTTGGTTGCTGGTGAAGGAGCACCTGGGCTTGGGGGCTCCCTCAGCTGCCGGAGTCCATTCTTCCCGCGTGTAGTTGGATGCCGGATGCCACGGAACGCACCCAACATTTAACAGAAAAGAAACCAGAGCAAATAAACCTGTATTTGCTTGACTGATGTAGTTAGTTTTGCTGGTACCTTCTGCCTGGGCCGTAGTTTTCATCCGATGTCCGTCCGTGCAGCAGGGACCGTGCCTCTCCTTGTTGACCTTTCTCGGTCACCTGGCATTTTTGTGTGAAAAGCTGTCAGAAGGGGGACTGTGATGTGCAGAGCGACTTGATAAAAAGTTGATTTTCAGAGCCTTATTTGAAGTGTCTGTCACACGCTGATCATGCTCTCGGAACTTTGTTTTTCAGAGTCAGGGTGAGCGTCTTCTTTCTAGAGAGGCACCCGAGGAGCTGAAGCAGCAGCCCCTGGCCCTTGGGTATTTCGTGTCAACTGCCAAAGCGGAGAATCTCCCCCAGTGGTTTTGGTCATCGTGTCCCCAGGCTCAGAACCAGTGCCCCCTCTTCCTAAAGGTTGGTTGGGTGTCATATTTGAATTTTGGGGGGAGGAGTGACTTCTGCTGAAATTGTCTCAGTCACCACAGTCTCACTGTGTCCCCTGTTTCTTTCACATCTACTTATACTCTGAGGACATTTTCATTACAGCTGCAGGCGGGGAGCAGGATTTAGGAGACAAACCCGAAACCACATCACAAGGGAAGCAATCACGTTAACCCAAGGAGGAGACTTTGTGGGGCCCTCAGGGCACATGTCGGGTGGATACGTGGTCGTATGTAACAGTCTTTCTCCCAAGTCCACAATGCATTGCCACCGGTGAAGTTAAGCTTGGGTGGATGTGATCATTGTGGGCTGAACTCTCCCCCTTTGCCCCCCCTCCCCCACAAGCGTCAGCTTTCTTCATTAGAGTAGGGCAAGAGGCAGCTAAATTTACATTTATTTACACATGCTCCTTCCTGTATGTGTCTTAGAACCTTTTAATGCAAATTAAGGGTTAAAATAAAAGATCTCCTACTTCCAGTTTGGATGAAAGAACCTGGAATGAAATCCATGTCTCAACCACAGATTGGCAAAAGGCCTAAAGTTTGACAACATGCTCCATTGGCAGAACTGTGGAGAGATGGCCCTGGTGCCAGCAGGGCAGCCAAGCGATACAGCCCCACACATTTCCCTTTTGATGCAGCGAGGCCACCTCTGGAAATCTATTCAGAAGAAACTGACAAAACCAAAAAATGATAAATGTAAAAGATTAGAAACACCGGAACGGTCGACCAGTAAAGAACTGGCCGAATAAACCAGTGTATCCATTCAGTGGAATGTTAGTTATCCATAACAAAGTGAGGATGATTATAATATAATCATTCTGTGGAGTGTAGGTTACCTTGTAGTAATTGATAAAGTGTATGCAAACACACACACACACACACACCCCTACTTGTATTTTCTAAAAGGAATAACGGAAGGTTAAACCAAAAACAATTGAAGCAGTTTCTTTCAACTAATGGCTGTAACATATTATTGTGAAATCAAGGAAGTTCTACCACATAAGTCGGTGTCGTCTTTATTTTGAATTAGACTTGTCACTGTGAACCTAGATTTATTTTCTCCTCTTAGGAGAGATACACATATTTTTTAGCTCGGTCTACTGAAAAAGCTTACGAGCAGCGACAGGATCAGGAAACAGTGGTCTTGCTGCACTTGTGGTTCTGAAATACCATTTATCATTCAAAAGAAACGGAGTTCCTTTGAAGAATTGACTGATTTGTAGGTCTGAAGTAAGAAATATTCAAGATGAACCTAGGATATGTTGTCACACCTAAAAGCAAGGAAGTTACTTAAGATAATTAGAGTTACTTCAAAGGGCCCGCCAACTGGAGGGTTCCCATTGCCCAAGGATGGGACAGTTTGAACATAAAAAAGAACAATGGTAGCAGTAGATTGAAACAAATCCAAGGGTTCGTGCTGAAAACCAGAATATTTTAGTCACCCTTTGAAGCTACTAGAACAACAGTTCATTAGTCTGAAACCTAAAAAATAAAGAAGCATTTATATTAGCTGTCCTCAACACATTGCCTGTCTCAGTTATTTCATAACGTGTGCTAAAGCCATGATAGCGGGTGGGGCGTGCCGGGAACCTGCTGACGGCAGCGATGAGCCGAGCTGCACGTGGGGCGGCGCACATTCACGCCTCTCGAGGTGAGGCATAGGGAGCACGTAGCGCCAGCCACGAAGTGTGCTTGCACCCCGCGCCCTCCCCGTCCCCCAGAAGGATCTGAGCCGAATTGAGCCTCTAGATCTATCCACTTATGGGAAGTCAGGATGGAAGAACGTGTTACACAACCACCACAAGGGCAGAGTCGGCCGTATCCAGGCCGTGGAGATGGTGGGGCCTTTTACAGATGAAGACCTGAAGAGGCACATTATCGAATCATTTGTGACGCACTGGTATTTGCAAAGCTAGCTTTTTTTCCCACCTCCAGGGTGTGGAGTTCTTTGGGATCACATCAGGGTTACCGAGAGCTTAAAACTGAGGCTTCTGGGAGCCGAGAGGCCGGGAAGGTAACCGTGTTTGTTCTCTTGCCAGGCTTCGCTGCACCACCACATTTCTGTAGCACAGACGGATGAACTTCTCCCTGCCAGGAATTCTCAGCGGGTTCCCCATCCTCTTGACTCCAAAACCACATCTGACGTTTTAAGGTAGATTGTTTTAAGGCAAAATAGCAGTTACAGCTTGCTACAGTCTTCCTTTAGTTTTGTTTTTCCAAGGTGTTTACTTAAAGTGTGGAAAAGGCGCTGCCTTTTGTGCAGCGGAGTACCGTCTGAGCGGCCAGGGAGAGCTGCGTGCAAAACCCCGCATACGAGCGCGGGTCAGGGAGACTGGTATTCTTGGTTCTGTTTGACGTGTGTGTGCACGTACAGTGGCCCGTGCTTCCTGTGTAAAGGAGACGTTTTATGGTGATGAAAATAGATCAGAATTAGGTGTGGGTGGTTAGAAGACCGAGCCTGGGACATAAAGCACTTGGCTTTGAAAGCATTTTGTACTCCCCCTGACATAGATTATATAAATAAAATTGGAGCATAAATTCCACAGTTGGGAAATATCTCCCAGAAGTGTATGCTAATTCTCTCGCACTTTAACAGACCATGAACATTCTCCATGTACCTTGAGGAAGTATGCAAGCGTCTTCTAGTGTTCACTAATAACTCTTAAATGATTTAGAAGTTATAGTTAAGCGAGAATCCAGTCACCATGATTTTTCAGGCTTTCAGGGTCTGTAGTGCAGCACTGTCCAGTAGAACCATAATGTGAGCTGCGTGTCTAATTCAGTTGTTTTTAGTAGCAACATCAAAATAATAAAATAAATGGATGAGGTTAATTTCAAAAATAAATTTATCAGCTTTATCAAAGACACATCAAAGTAATATCAAGTATACGAAAAGCAGTATCATTTCAGTAGTGGACCCACATGAAAATATTCATGAGCCATCTCGCCTGCTTTTTTAAAATACGAGTTCCTTGAAATCCAGCACCTCTTTTTGACATACAGCGTATCCGAATCCACTTGGTGGCCGTGGCTGCCATACTGGACAGTGTGGGTCTAGATGAGGTGGGCACGGGGGGGAAAGAACCACGAGGAAACCCCGGGGGCAAGCAAAAGACTGACATACACGGAGCCTCGTCCTGCTGACTTGTGGAACGTTAAGATGTAAAAGCACCGCTGTGGCCCGTGGCCCTGACCTGTGTACTCTCTCCGGCAGGTTCGTTTTGGAGCAGTACAACGCTCTGTCCTGGCTCACGTGCAATCCGGCCACCCAGGACCGCACCTCCTGCCTTCCCGTCCACTTTGTGGTGCTCACTCAGTTGTACAACGCCATCATGAACATACTTTAATTGGAGAAGCACTTGTTCTCTCTGGCTCGGTTCCTCCTCCCTGCAGCCTGAGTCCAAGGAACCTGCTACACTCTGCACGTGCCCCACACGCTCTTCTTGAGAGACCGCTCTCCACAGTCCTGCACTGTGACTACTCCTCGGCAGGCACATGTCATTTCTGCAGTGTTCATTACCAGAGTGATGCATTGACACTTCTCTCATGGACCTGGAAACTTCCATAAGCGGTGACTTCTAGCCAGTGTTCTGGTGTGTGCAGCCCCGAACCACGGGTCCACAGGAAGTTTTTGGTGGTGGTGGTGGTTTTTAAGAGGGCAACAGAAGAGACAGTATCCTTTTGCACAAGAGTCTGTTTCCAGTCTCCGTTTAAGAACAAGGGCAGTTTAGCCCTTTTGGATGAAATCCTCTAGTTACTGGTGTGTGGCCTGTGGGTTACCTGAACTCCATCATCTGGAACTTTTTAAAAATAAGAACCAGCTCAAGTATATGATTTCGTAATGGGGTTTCTGTCTCCCTAGTGGTCCCATCTAGGTTGGCATGAATGCTTTGGTCGACTTCATACCTGTGTGTAGATACAAAAGGTCTGGAGACATCTTCATTTTGTTTATTTATTTTAAGTTGTTTTGTCATATTTTTTTTGTGACTTTTACTTTTTTTAAGTCATGAGGACCAGGTACAGTAGCTGAAACCCAACTCAGACCCACCATAGGATTCTTTGACTACATACCTCTGTCCTAGAAGCCGGAAAAGGAGTGAAAACAGATTGGGGAGACATGCCTAAAAAGTAATATATCCAAAACCACCCAGCAGTAGGCTTTATTAAGAACAAACTGGGTAAAACATTCTGCCATGTTTCTTATTAAAAGCGGCCAGCGTTTCATGAAGGATAACATTTTTATACAGAAGGCAGTCAAGCTCCACCCAGAGCCATGGAGGCAAGTACCTTCATTAGTTTTATATAGTCACAACGGAAATATATTTTCTAGTGAATTCTTATTGAAAGCCAGGTCTCTCCTCTCATTAGATCAAAAGGGACTCATGTACATATCATAATTGAAAGTGTTTGCTCATAAAATCAGTTATAAATATGGTGACTTTTTTCTGGACCATAGGAATATTATTTCAAAGAAATATTACAACTTAACCATTAAATTAGTACTTGAAGTTGAGCCTTTGTGGTGGGACTTTTTAAAAAAAAAAAAAAAAATG